TCTGCAGGTGCAGTAATTCACTCAAATAAGACACAAATTCCACCTAATTCCATACAAAAGCGATCCCAATATTAAAAGATGAGATGGTCAATTATAAAGATTGGGCGCACCCATGTTGTCTTCAATAGCTGGAGTTTTCAAGACACCAAATTGCAGGGAATTTATTCTTCGTATGGTGGTTGGATTTTAAAATGATTAGAAAAATAATTACATAGTAAAATTGCTTAAAATATAATGAAATTTCTTATTAATTTAATGATCTTCCAAAAAACTACTCCAATTTTTTTGTATTCAAATTTCCATTTTGTTAGAGAAAATTTCAAATTTCTTTAATAAAACTCACTTAATAATACAAAATATGAAATTTTTAAATCAGGTTTTATAATTATTGTTTCGTCCCACTTTGTTGCGAATCACACGTGCGTGAGTTTTCCTTTCCTTTCAAACAAAATTCTGGCTCTCAATCTCGACAGGTGAATCGTACGCAGATTTCTCAGTTCTGCTTTTCCTTTCACTGCTGCAGGCGGCGAGGAATATCAACTTTCCAATGTCATACAGATCTCATTCCCCGCAGAGGGAAGACGAGCGAAAGCCCCCGAGAGGCAATTTTGATTAAGGTATCGGTCGGATCACAATTCAAAATTTCCGTCCGCCACTCCGCGAACTCCAAATCCAATAAGAAGTGACGAGAGCAAAACTTATTCCCGAAAATTGGTCTCCATTATTTTACCGCCAGTCCTTTTTCCTCGTTGGAGCTTTAGAAACACTTTTTTTCCAAGTAATTCCCAGATTGATCAGAATTTAACAAAAAAAAGCTTAAAGTTATCTCGAAAGTAGAGAAAAAAAATCCACACAGCCTTGGGAATTTCCTGTGCAGGCAAACAAACTGTTTCGCAAAAAGCTGGGCTTGGTGCGATTTAAATAATTTATGACGGTGGCGCACACAAAGTGTTCGCTTTACACGCTGCACACAAACATGAATGCAGCCCCGGTTTGGAAAAAGCGATTAAATCAGTCAAAAGCGAAATGTTTGTGGTTCGGGAAAAGTGTGTGTACACATGCCATTAACGAATCACAGCTCACTCCCGGCGTTCAATGTACCATCGATCGACCTTCAGCAGAATTACCTTTTGCTTTTGTAACTTTATTAATTGGTAGCGGAAATATTTGTATAATATTTCAGAATATTATTATGGAAACAAGTCGGAAGCATTGATTTATACTACACGCACAACACCGATGCCCTGCAGGTGAGTATAACCAGCAGGAGCTTTATTGAAACTTTTCTGGAAAAATACATCTGGAGCATGTAAATAAAAATATATAGAGCTCCACAAGAAAAGTTAAATCAAATGAAGGGGAAAAAAAGCACAAGTCGATTGCCTCGTGCTATTTGATTAATTGAAAAAAAGCATATCAAAGAAAATGTGATTTTCAAAGAAATGCGTTTCTGCTTGGAAAGGAGTAGGAATAGAAATAGATTATTATTATAATTTCTTTTGAGACTACCAGTATACAAACTAAGAAAGGATTTGTAAATCATAAATCATAATTTTGTTTTCTCCAAAGTAGAATCAAACAAAAAGGTTTTCTTCATTTATTCACCATATTTAAGATTTCATTAAATCAGTTTTGTTGTAAAGGACATGAGATTGGGCTTGCTTGGGACAAACAAACGTAATTTTTATAAACCTCCAATTATTTTTGTATCGATCGGAACGGTTTGATTACTTTCAAAGCCCATATTATATGTATAATTCATTTAAAAATCTAATGCAATTTGGAATTGAGAATTTATTTACTAAAAACCGTGGAAGTTTTACATTAAAATGATTCCGGCCATTCGTAAAAATACCAACTTAAACAAATTAATTTTGAATCAACAATTATTTCACTAGCAAAACAAATTAACAATTGAAACAACATCTCTAATTTAATATTTAAATTTGCTGAATGATTTCCACCCGTATGAAATTCATTGCATTGAAATTAACTGGTATACGTTAAATTTAGTTGTATTTCAACAGTCGCAGTTGCAAAGTCAATATTTCAGTTCAATCACGGCCTGTCTAGAACAATAGTCACCGCCCGGTCTGCCTATTTTTGGACCATGATTAACACAAAGAGCCATTCGCCCATTCATGTTGGAAAATGCGCTTCCATTATCAGCTCGTTCGTTACTCTGTGCATTTCAATTGTCATTAACGAGCGGCTGTTGCGAGGGGTGCAACATTTGGCCGAGAGCAACACGGCGGACACACGCAGCACGCGCCGGGATCAATAGTGGTGAATGTGTCACCTGAGTGCGTGGAACTGCTGCGAGACCGAATGTTCTGCTGGCGGGAAAGTAACTTTATGCTCGAGTGACACAAAGACAGACACGTCCCTCCTCACGTTCCTTGCGTGAGTTGGCGTATTATTATCATTATACCGTGTATTGGCCAAACGAAACACGAAACGCACGCATTCACTCTTGGGGATGCGAATAATAAAGCCGCGGCGTTTATGCTAATAAGCGAGCTTGGAGGGTTGGAGAAATTAATTTTTCTAATCGAAAGCGAGCAAAAGTAAAGATGAATCAGCAATAAAATCAATAATGTGGCTTATTTTATTAAATATTAATTATTTTTCCAAATTTATCAATAAATAGTTTACAAAATATACAGTGGAGAGGTTTTTTTGGTAAAAAAAAAATAGATTTTTAGATTTCACAACGCATGTGAGAAAAAAGTTTTTGTTCAAATAAAATTGTGTATTATTTTCAATTTTGTTGAAATTATTATTTTTCCGAGCCTGTGTCTTAAAAGTTTGGTGCAAAATTTGTTTGAAAATAAATTAGAAGCATTAAATTCAAAATAAGTGCTTCAAATTTCATCCTTCGATCCTAAATAAACTGTTTCAATTTTACTGTTTAACCTCCGCAATTCAGAACCAATTTGTGGCAACACTGCGGCTAAAATAAGAGCCATCCAACTGCGGAAATTTGAGCATCCCTTCACTCCAGTGAAGCGCCTCTTGCTTTGATGAGTGTAAATTGCAAAACATTTGCATTGAGCGCTGATAAATACAAGCAAACGATTATGAATTTTTAATGCCATAAAGCAATAAGTGTTGTTGCTTTTTTATTAAATTAATTATGAAAGTTAACTATTTAGAACTTCCGGCAACTTGGGCCACTTGATAAATTACACTAATACAATTGAAAATAAAATCAAAGTAAGCGCTCTCGTGTAAATTTGTCTTTATCAAAATTTGATGTCAGTTGTAAAAAAAAAAATATGAAAGTTTGGAGCAGCTGAAATTTAAAAATCATCTTAATAATTGACCCCCTTTAACTTTGAAAATTTTTTACATTTACTCCAACAACATCTTGACTTCACTGTACTCACTTTGAATGAAAGGAAGAAAAATGTGATTAAAATACTCCAAAATCATGTTTTCTTAATTATTACAAAATTAATTTTAATAAAGAAAAAGACTAAATAGACTAAAATAATTTGATAAATCGATAATAAAAAACATGTATTTGTGTTTTCTAATTTTTGTTGCTAGTGGTGATGTTGCGGTTTTATTTTCACGTTCTGTGCGTACTTGAAGCAAAAGACATTCCCACATCCGTCTGCTGAATTTTGATAGCGCGTTAAGTCTTTTGCATAAGGTCAGATGGCAGCAAAAATTTTTATTTTCAAACTTGTAGTCTTCTTACGTTCTTACATGAATTTGAATTGCACATACAAAATTACCATCATTAAATGAATGAAGTCTTTAATAAGTAAATTTCTTTGTATTGGTAACGAGACTGATAGACAATCTGAGTTAATACAAAATCTAATTAAGTTTTGCCTTTCTTGGCTTTTCAAAGCTTTTCTTTTGCGTTATGTTTTTTTTTTCGAGTTTCACTATTAACAGCAGTTTGTGATAATAAAAGTGCAGAAATGAAGCCGCTATGCGTGCACGTTTTATTACAGCCATTCAAGTCCCTCCGTCCGTACGCACCCTGCTGCGCCAGGGGTTAATGAGGGTGTATATGGAATGATATGGCACCGGGTGTTACACGTTGCGTACGTACCGACGAATTTTTACGGCGCCACGGTACTAAATTTGTTTTAAAATTAAGCCCTTCACATTGCGAGTCGGGCGAATTTCTGCCTAGATACGGAATTTATTATTATCACACAGACCCGGGGGAAATTTAAGTTCGGAACAATTGTGTTTAATTCCGTCCTTCTTCCCGCTGGCAGAATTCGGAGACAATACTAAATCGACTTAGCACTCGAAAGATTAAAGATAAGACGATGGAGGGAAAGGCTAGTTAATGATCCGCTCAGCAGCGGAAAGAGCTTTTCCGCGTTTGTGCTTTATCTCAATAGACAGTCGCAAACAAATTCTTGTTTCCTATTTTTTATTATCAAATCTATATAGATTTGCGTCCAATAAGAACATTAACTCAAAACGTATATGAATATACCAGTTAGTCTTATAGATGAATTAATTTTTCTATTCTTTAAAAATAAGTAAATTAATATGTGTTGTAAGTGTGACTAATTTTCTTATTGTTTAGGGCAAAAAGAATAATAGATTCACATGTAAAATAATTTTGCATTTTTAAACTTCGGAATTTCAATAATTTTTTTCTTTTGAAAATTTGAAAGGAACATTCAAATTTACAATTTTTCTGATAAGCAATTTAAACGATATGCACTTTGAAAAGTGTTACGAAACTTTTAAGACGTACCATAAAATTAATTAAATTAATTTACCTTAACATGGGGGACGGAAAATCAAGAAAATTATTTTGATTCATAACAGTAAAAATATTTGGATCCATTTTTCATTCCATAAGCTTTGATAAATTGAGCTTTTTAATTAGGGAACGAAAAAAATTAATTTTGATCAAAATGCTGATCTTTCTTTTAGCACTTCAATAGAAATTTTGAAAACATTATATATTATTTCAACCTTAAAATTATTAGAAAAAATAAAAGTGTCAAGTGACTTACCTCTGAACTCGATTTTGGCGAGCTTGTCGCCCTTGCATTTGGGCAGGAAGAACTCCCTGAGTCTGACCACGAGCGCCATGGTTTGCTTCTCGCCTCGTTGTTTTATGGGTAGTTAGATGATCAGAGTCGTCGCGCCCTGAGCATGGTGCTCGCCTCGCCACCAACTGCCTGACTCTTTGACCCGCTATCGCCGCCAAAGCCGCCTCCACGCATTGCGCAGCTGCCGCCGCCGCACAACCGGCCCCGCTTTTTAATTTATCGACGCCGCATCCGCTCTCACTGCGAAATATATGTGAATCATCTCATATAAATAAGACGCTTCTCTTTCAATTATTGGCTTTTTTTTAATTTTCTTGGAGAAAAATCTTTTGTTCTTCAGCTTTAAGATCTCCAAGATAAAAAGAGGCACAGGTTGTTTGAAGCCACGCACGGGTTTTGATCAGTCCCGCGCAGCTATTCTGCTGGTGTGTGAAGATCTACCTGCACCCGACATCTCTCGGAGAACGCTGCTTCTCTCCAAGGACGCAAGAATTCAAGAATAAATTAATGAACAAGAAAAGAATCTTTCATGATTCATGGAGGAAAATCCCCGAGCTTTAGTATCTACGTTGGATATGAAAATGTGGAATGATCAAAGCTAAAAATTAGAATTTAAGAAGAGATCCAATTTTGAACCATTTTTCTAAACATGGTATTTTTAGTTAATTTTATTTGACTTATTCACTTAAAAAATAAATTTTTATATTCCACAACATAATTTTTTTACGTATATTTTTCATTCTTAAACCTTCCCTTTTCCAATCTTTTCTAAATAATTTAATAATTATAGTTATCAAAACATTTCATGGCGCCTCTATGAAAATTGCAGCATATGAGGGGCAAATCTCATTGCAACTGCAAGAAATTAATAAAAATGAGTTAAAATAATTTGGAACCATAATTTAGGATAAGAATTTCTTTACAAATCAAAAAGTAAATGACATTAACTAACAATGTAAGTTGATCAAAATAAAATGCAATTAAACTTAAGTAACATATTAAACAAGAGTTTAATTATTCCACTAATAAACATTATCCTTCCTTGAGGAACTTTTCCATCTTCTCCAACTCCTAGTGTTCATTTTCCAATCTTTTTCTCTTTATGCTTTCAAACTTGTCCAACTCTTTCAATTTCTCCTCACTCTCTTCTTTCCTTCTCTTCAGGCCCTTCAGGGTCTGCAGTTCACGACCAACGAAGACATTGAAGGCTGCGTAGTAAGCGAACATGCTTTTTTTCTTCTCTTTATCTACCTTCAATTCGTCTTCTTTGTTCGCGATCATTTTGTCAAAATTATCATTTTCAGATGCAAAAGCACTAGCAGGCAACTGATCTGATGGCCAAAGTGAGACCCTCAGGGCCCAGTTACTGCAACAGGGCACGGAAGGCACTGTCAGGGTGAGGCCCTCTGCTGGCGGTCGAGGTCAGACAAAACCTGGTCCACATGATTGCCTTTCTGCAGAGACTCTTGCAGTGCCTTTTAGAAATTAAAAATATTCTAAAATGAAAATTTAAAAAAAAAGTGGGGTCTTTACAGAAAGGTCCTCTTTATTGAGCATCCCAACAAGGCCCTGAAGATGGTCGTTCTGCACAATAGGACTGAGCTAGAACAAGTTGCTGTTCGGTACGCTCGTGCAGAATGAACATGACAGCGATCTGCTCCAGCGAGTTGATAGCATTGTTCAGGTTGTTGGTGATGCTGCAGGACTGTTCTTTGTGCTGCGCAGCCTCTTCTCGACCCTTTCGAGCGCTTGCACCTTTGAATGTATGAAAAGATTTAATTACTTAATAATTAGACCTCATATCCACGATCAATTAATTATTGCATTTTTATTTTTATCTATTTATAATTATCAAAAATATTTTTTTGTTTTAAAAATATTTTTCAATATAATAATAAACTCGTTTCGCCTGGTGCTGGAGCTCTAGCACAAAAGGTTTTTTTGCAAAAGTTCCTGCACAACAGGGTCCTCGCTCTGCGGATAGCGGGTGGACACCTTATGAGCTGCTTTAGCGTCTGCGGTTTTCATTGACCAGCTTCTCAAGGAGATCTGCAAGAAGATCGATCTTCCTGTTACATGCCAATTCGTGGTGCAAAAGGTTCTTTTCTTTTTTGACCTTTTTCAGCTGCTGCACGACCAACTCCAGTTCATCTAGCTGCTTTGCTTCTCTACCTATAGTAGACTGATTTAAGTAAATCTGATTTATAATACAAAACTACAAATACTGACAAGTCTTTTCTCTACATCTTGCAAGTGGTGCGCCAGCTAGACCATTTGGCCAGGAAGGCACCAGCCGGACTCTCCCAAGAACCTCCACACATGCATGGTGGAATTGGTTGAGCGCCTTGACACCTCCTGACTCGCCGTCAGGCACTCTCTCCAGTCGCTTCGGTCCTTATTTGTGAGGAAACTTCAGGGGGTTGATAAGACAATGCTAGAGTGTCAGGAGAGAATTCCCAGATGTGCAAATTAGAAGCGGTCAACGGTTGTTTCTTAATGCTCCAACACGCAAGCAGAGATCGCTTTTTCCAAATCTGGAAAATCATTATTTGAAATTCGATAACACTTAAATTTAGTTTAGATTCAATTTATACTTCTCCCCTTCCTCCAGGTTTTTACAAATTTTGGCAAACTTCTTCTCAACTTTTTCCAGGCTTTCAACTTCAGTCTTATATATTCTGAAATATTTTGCATTTAAATTTTAGATAAATATACTTCTTAATTATAACTTCAAAAGATATATATACTTTGTATTTTGTCAGATACAGCCAATTTGGAACTTGATTTTAGGTCAATTTACTGATTAAGAGCTGAAGTTTCAGCAATTTTGGGCCAAGGGGCACCAAGGTGAGGCCTCCCTTTTTCCAGCGATTCCACTCTAGACTGGACATTCAAATCTGCAGCAGCAGCTGATCTTCACACTCTGAAGATAAAAAATTTTAAGTTGATCAATTTAATAGCAATTTTAATCAGCCTATTTACTATTGCAAGAGTTGTTGCGAGTTGTCCCAAACGTTTGAAGCGTCCCAAGTGGGACATTCGTCATCAATGGACTTCCACAGTGCTTTTGTACTCGATGACAAGAAATTTCATGGCCAGCCATGTCTCCAGGGTCTCCTCGTACCTGCCCGTAAGCACCTTCAGACGAACCAGCTGCGGATTCAGCGTCTCCAGGGAGCATATGATCGGCCCCAGGATTTCTTCCATCCAGCACCTGCGTCTTTTCCTTCTTGAGCAGGTCTCTCGCATTTGTTCTGTAAAAATTCAAGATCTTATTGTTTTCTATCACATAAAATTATAAAATTTAAAACAGTAAATAAACCAAATGAAAGCTTTTATACCGTGCAACAAAATTACGCCCAATAACTGACTCCAGTTTGGACTGAAGACTCTGAAGAGTGTTCCAATTCAAATTCGTGCAACTGTAAATTACTGCACAATTTCCTTTTCAGATTTTTGTTAAACAAAAAAAAAAATTATATTACATTTTTATAATACAAAACTCCAATAATTCCTTTGCAGTGTTGCGCTTCGTCAAATTGAGTGAATTCAAAAGGTCGTCGATCGTCGAACCATAGCCTCCGGCCGCTGTCGTGTTCCATGATTCCACGTACACTTTGTCTCATCGGCCTAGTCTGCGTCTTCTCTCTGCAGGTTTTGTCTCTGTCAACAGTGCACGAAAATGGAATTAAATTCTGAATACCTACACATGCCCATAATAGAAGAGAAGTGAAGTACGTGTATGACATTAATATAAATTCAAATTTCCCGTATTTCCTACATTTTGCGTGCGATCCGACAGTACAAAAGTAAAAAAGAAATGAAAAAGTTCGCAACAACAAACGAGCTGTTTGGGGGCGCGGCTATAGTCGCATGATGACGTCACGTGAAATCGCAAGAATTCAGGCTGCTAATTGGCCAATCCCAAATCCATGCCTCTCACCAATAAAAAACGCTTATTTTTCGTATATTTTGTTGTTCATTGTTGAACTTCAAATTCAAATCTCTTCCGAACAAGTCCGAAATCGCATCGAGTCCAGCCAGTCCAGCCGTTATTTTTCAAACCTTTCCCCAACATTTTCTAAAGTTCTCGTCTAACCCGCCGAGTCCAAGGTCCCTTAAGCTGCGATCAAGAGATATGGACGACTTCATCATCCCGATTTACCTAACCGATCGCGCCGAGGCAGCGATCGAACAATGTGATATGGTTAACGAGCTCATCGGGACAGCAGTGGTGCAAACTCACGTGAACACTACTGCGAGCCAGTACCTGACGCTGGCCTTTAACCACCAGGACGTCACTTACACCGAGCGTAAGAAAATTTATCAAGAAATCATGAATTTAAGTCTAAACATAAAAATTTACTTAATTTCCTCAGGTCGACACACAGTTGCCAAAAAAGTGGTGCACCTTCGTCGTCAGGCCCGCGAGAATGGTGCCAGAATCAGGAGGGTGACGTTTGAGCCTCACGATGGGCCTTTGAGCTACGAGTTTCTCCCCCAGAGACAAATTAAGAGACGCCAATCCAAAGACGGCCTGCTGATGGAAACCTCTATGCGCTCTACGTCCTTGCCGCTACCAACGCCTTGGCTTACGACGGCGCCCTGAGTAATTTTTTTTTTATCGCTGATCTCTGTTATAAGCATTATAAATCTCAGGTGTTGAGGCCTGTGAGCTCCCTGCATTCAACTGCGATTATTTATGAAGCTATTGACTTTAAAAAACCAAATACTGACTTCGGATTCGTGTTCCTGGATGTCGAAAATATAGGAAACGACAATCAAAATCACAAACATTGGTCACTTTTAAAATTTTCCCCAAAACCCACCCCCGGGGGTAGGGGTGGTTTCAAAAATCGATCCTGATCATAGAAATTCTTCAAATTTGATGGGTCCTCAATACCTGGAATGTATTTGCTTAATTTTATGGCAAATTTAGCAAATTTAGGGGCGATAAAAATTTTACCACCTCAAAAAAGGGCCAAAAAACCACGTTTTTTGAACTTCTTCAGTAGAAATCTCGAAAACGAAGAAATTACATATCTCCAAAATTTGTACACTGATGTAAAATTAAATTTGAAACATTTTTCATGTAAAAGAGATAAAAATATTTTTGGTCCTTCAATATCTGGCGGCGTTTTTCAAATTTCATAAAATTTTTAGTGACCTTGAGCTTTGACCTTGACCCTTGGGGCCGAATTAAATTCCATTTAAGTGGCTTTCAAACGGTGTCAAGTTTTTTGAAATTGCTCCACTAGAACCCGAGATAATTAAGATTAAAGAAAACACTATTTTCGCAAAAATCGCCACTATGAGCCCCTGTAAAATAGGCAATCTTGGGATATTGGACTAACTATATACCATAGGTTGACCACCTACCCTTAGGGTTAGGGTATCACGTATCACCATGCCAAGTTTCATCCAGATCCAACAACCCTCGCCAAACACTTCAGATTGATTTGGAAATGGCCTTACATAATTTGAATTAATTAAGAAAACGAAAAAAAGGCGACAAAAGTTTGAAAAAAAATATACCAGAAATTTCTCAAAATGCCACACCCCTTTTTTATTTCGGGCTGAACGCTGAACACATACACCTACTTCATGACCACTGACCGCCTCTGCTGCAGTGGAAGTTGAGGTGGTTGCTCATTTCGTTTGCCAATTGGTAAATGCAAATACGACCCTGCTGGTTTAAATCTCAAATTTATTTTAATTTTTCTTTAGATTCATCAGCGATTTTGTTGTTGTATGTTGCAGATGTTGCTTGGGTGTTCTCTATCTCGGCAATTTTTAATCTCATCTAGATGCAGCATCAAATTTGTCACATTCAAAAGTTTTCCTTCAGCCAGCGCAAAAACTTCAATCCTCTCATTGTCAGAGAAGAAAAGTACAATGAGATCTGAATGAGATGCTCAAAATGTTGAAGAAAACTAAAGACATGAGTAACATGTGCTGAAATAAATGTTCAATCTGTTAATTAAGTTACAATTTACTTTTTTTTTAATAAATTTCAATTTTGAACGTTATTTTTTTACTTCTAGTCTCACATCCTAAATTGTGCATGACAATTAATTATTTTAAATTGTTTTTTTTCAATTCTCATTTACACATCTTACATTTTGCATTGATATTCGCCCCTCAAGCTGTACATTTTAATGATATATAGTGACCAAGAACAATTTTTTTTTGTAAAACACATGAATGAAAATTTTGTTTAATGAAAAAAAATTATTAATAATAAATTACGTTATACAATAAATAAATTAAAATGCCTGAAATATTTACAGTAATTCTCCGACTAAAGTTAAATCAGAGGTGGCGCGGTTAATTATTGTTTTGCTCACCCACGGTACACACAAATAAAAGTAGTTAATTTTAGGAACAGATTTTCTTCCAAGGGACACTTTCAGGTTCTGCTGGTGGTTCCCGTGTTGTTTGTTTGCGATTGTCTCGGCGGGTCCTTGAGTCTGATGTAGAGACTGCAGGCCAGCACCAGGCCAAAAATTTGCACCACACTAAACCCGAGACCAACTCCGCCGAGGATGTTGAGGTGTTCGCTCATTTCGTTTGCCAATCGGTAAATGCAGCCCTGTTTAAAAAATAAAATTTATTTTAATTTAACTTTATTAAGAAATTGTTTACATTGTAGTAGATGTTGCTAGGGTGGTCTCGAACTCCGCAATTTTCAATCCTGCTGATGCAACACGAGTCGGGCACCAAATTTTTCACGCTCGGGTTTTCCTTCAGCCAGCGCGAAAACTTCCAATCTTCAAACCTCACGGCTCCGCAGCATTTAAACTATGAAATTAACCAAAATTAACATTTGATTGTATGCATCTCAAAATTGATAGGAAGGAAAAGGACCAAATAGAAGGCACTTAATTTTTATGGCCTGGATTGAGTTATCAATGAAACGCACCTCGAGCTGCAGCTGATCTATGGCCTTGGTGACCTCGGGGTTGATTTGGTAGCCGTCAGTGAAGGTCTCGTTCAGGCTGACGCTGAGTTCATTCTGCACATGGCCCTCGTAGATGTAGGCCAAAATGCCCACCATCGCCTCCAGGAGGAAGATCAGCAGAAGAGTGAATATGTACTGGAATGAGAAGGAGCCACTTTTACTTAAAAGAAAACTTTTTTGTAATTTAAATTATATTTCGGAATTCTTTCAGAACATAAGAATTTTAATTAATTGCATTTCATATTAATACAATGGCCTCTAGACTTGTCTGCTATCGCTACCCAATCAACGATTGTTAATTTTCTTAATAACCTCTATATTAGTATGTACCAAAAATTTAAATAATATTTTATCTAAATACTATTTTTTTTTTAAATATGGATATTAGAAATTAAGTAAGAATAATTAATAAAAATTCTCTAAAAAAAAAATTTATAAAATTATATATTAAAAGAATATCAAATTAGATCATTAAAAAATATCCATTATTATTAAATACAATATATTTTTAATAATGACTTTTTAATCTTATAGTTAATTCTATAAAAATGTCATAACCTTAGTAAATTAAATAATTTTTGGCCTGTGTACAAATTTTAAGCTAAAATCTTAAACATTATTCATTATTCTAATTTGTGTTTATATTGATAAAAAAAATGACACAAAATTTAAAGGAGATAAAAAAAATGCAATTTTTCTCTCATCATACAACGTTATTTTTTCTTTCTCATCTCAGCTCCCGCGAGTGGCTCTACAATTAATATGCGCCACATATGAAAAGCACTTACAAATTAGCAGATAATGGCTACTCGACGGCACAATCCATTAATTAAGCGCGGCCCCATCCAGTGGCCGGCGGTCGAGAATACAAAAATAATTAGCCATCAACAAGTGTGCCGAAACAAAAGCAGCGGCCGTACGCGGAATATCTTTTTTCGTTCTCCGAATCCATTAGCGGAAGAACGAAACGAGGATGCCATGAGAGCATAATTCAGCCACTAATGTTTGAACAGAGAGCGTCACAGGACTTTTCAAGAGAGGCTGCGGCCGGACCACTTGTTTAACGAGCACGCATTTTTTATCATTACATTCCTGCGGATGGCCTGACTGAGCATACATAAATAACGTGAAGTGATCAAACAAGGGTCTCCGGTGGGTTTCAGCTTCTGTGTGTCAATAACAGAAAAGTTTTTCTTTTCTTTTAGTGAAAATAGTAAAAATAAGTTGCTAGTTTCCGTGTTTTGTTTACTTAAAATTTATAAATTCTTTGATTTTCAGTATGATTTTTTTATTCTCTCGGATTTTTATTCATCAACGTGTGTCTTTTATAGAATCAAAATTTTCGTGTCGTCAGGTTTATCGCCCTCGATAAATTAGTCTGGCGCGTTGCGACGTGAGAAAGATTTCGTCATCAGATTAAAAGAAAGAAAAGGATATAATCAAATTAAAAAAGTGCCGCGAGCTGCATCGCCATTAGTTTCCGTCTTAATCATGAGAAGCGTGCAGGCTTATCTGAATTAATTCTACCACTCAATTATTTTCAAGCGCCTTGTGGAATTCCATCGCAGAAGCCACATGGCTACTTATTAACGTACATAAAATTCCGCCCCTCGACAAAATGAACTCAAATCAAAAGTTTTAAATAGCCATACAGTGAATAGGATGCGAGAAATAATGTGAAAAAAAGAAAAGGATAATGCACGTTGAAAACTTGTTTTGATTAAAAAAAAAAATAAGTCTCCCAGTCTAAAGTCACAATAATCAGCAAGGCAAGAGCAAAAAAGAACGTTCAGCAATTTTGAAGCAATTATAAATAAATAAGTCTAGGTGATTTCTAATAATTAATTTTTTAATTAAAATTTTTTAAAATTTTTTTTTGCAAATTTTTTTTTTAGCCTCTCAGAAAGGGGTGTCTGTACATAATAAGGCTGTTTTGTTTTCATAATTTTTCTAATGTTTTTTTAATTTTTTTAGTATTAATTTCTTGATTCTTTCGTGGGGACTTCCAATCCAATTTATACATATCAGTTCACCGAACCTTTGTGAGGCCCGAATGTTCTCTCGCACCCCTTCATCTCCACAAAAAGCTAATATTGTCACACCTTATCTGGGAACCTAGCTCTGCTCTGCATTTAATACAAATAGCCGCGATATCAGAGCATCCACCATAATCTCAAGAGCTGCGGAGAAAAAAAAACAGGGACCGCGTGCGCCACCCAGAGTTATTCCCTCTTTTTTTTTAATAATAAGCATGAATTTTCTCTGCGGCCCGCCCGCCTTTCCTATTTTATGATCGCTCGACTTTCAAGAAGTTATTTATGGGCCGTGGAGAGAACGAAGGGAACATGAGAAAGGTGCTGTGAAATTTTTCGAGGGGTGAGACCAGTGCACAAGTTTCTTTATATTTCCGAGTGCATTCATATATTGTTTTGAAAGAGATGAGTTTTTAACATCTCTCAATTAATAGAGAAAACCAACTTGGGTGGTCGGTTGGTGATTATTTATGAGACAAGTCAAAAGTAAACGATGTATCCAAATATCCAAAAATTAACAATACATTGCGTTAGTGAAATGCAAAAGGTAAGATATTGAATTAAAATGCTAAATAAAGATTAAAACTATTATATAAGTTTATACTTTTGAAGAAGTTGACACTCAAATAAGGAGATGATCTCTAGAACTAATTGAATAGTTCTAGTACTAAACGACATTACAGATTAATTTTGCAAGATTTATATTTCAAATAAAAAGGAATTAGTGAAACAAAAAATTTAGAGTAACTTTATGGAAATTTGAAAGAGAAATTAATTGGTTTAAACAAAAAAGCTTCATATTTTTTTTTTTAATTTTATTCATTTAAAATATCTATGAATCAAAAGAATTTTGGGCTTTTGCCAGCTTTTACTTATATTATTTTATTGGAAAAATTGTAACTCACCACAAGAAGGAGGCACCTGTTCTCCTGACACAGAGCCACACAGCCAGCGACGCCGGCAACGACGACCAGACCCCCAGCCAGCAGCAGCGTGTAGGCGGTGAGGGCGTAGGTGGAAGTGGCCAAAAGGGCTACAAACTGGTGTTTGGCCACAACGCTCCACACGCCCACGCCTAACACAATCAGCCCTGCGATCTGCGAACAATGAACGAAAAAATATTAAAATGGGCATCCAATGATGATGATCCGTGAACAAAAAAGCATAAAGTCAAATTTACCGATTATTTTTATTCTCGAGAATGCAAATCTGACTGTTAAAAACACTCATAAAATGAAAATTTATTAATCGACCGTAATATTAAAAGATTCATTTTTATTTTTGGAAATTTCTAAGAATTTGGTTTATTTAAAAAAAGTAATGAATTGAGAGATTTCCTAATTCTTAATCCACAAAATAATCAGTTAAAATTGTTTATCTAACAAGGCAAAGGAGATTAAGGAGCTGTCTATATTAAATCTTCTGAATTTTTAACATCCTAGTCGAGCAAAACTAGATAAAAATATCTATGAAATTAATTGAGAATTAATGGAACAAAGAAAAAAACTATAAAATTATATTAATTAATAAAAAAATTACAATAAATCATTTTCTTATGATTAATATAATTTTGTTCTTATATTTTACTCTACAAATCTAATTTATTGAGAACGATCAAAAAGCCAAACTTGCGGCCTGGGCTAATTTAATTTAAGCCACGGTCAATTTTGCAGGTGGGTTGATTTAGCCTGAATCAGGTTAAGGGCTTTTGGATCACCCTTTTAATTGATTTTATAAAATTAAGATATCTGGAAATTTTTCCAAAAATTGTGAACCCATTCTGCTCTTTTTTCCAATTTAAAATTTGTTTTTGTATTTCCCCAGAAGAATAAATAACAATAATAATTCAATGCATAATAATTGAGAGCTTATTTCATTTTTGACACTTACAATGAAAACCACGTTGTAGATGTGCATGACATTTTTAAGAAAGCCGACGCTGCAGCAGTCGGACTCGCGTCGCTTCTTGGCCGGACCCGGCGGGCCTGCGTTGGCCATGGTGCCCTTTCGTTGTTTTGGTGCTTACGGGAGAGACGCCCACTCGTGAAACCTGCCGGACACAAAATAGTTAGAATCAAGAATTAAATGCCGCGGCCGCCGCCGCGCACATCATTAAATCACACTCCGAAAAGGGACCTTTACCCAAAGAGCAAACGCCCAAATGCCACAACACGGCCGTTCCCTCGGATAGTTTCAAATCTAGTTTCTGGCCTCTTTTTATTACATTTCAGGCGCCTCTTGCTCACGGGTATAACAAACGCATTTGCATATTAAATGGTTTAATTTAGTAGTATTGCCGGGTGACTAATGAAAAGCCATGTTACTCAAAATATGCTAATTGTAAGAAATAAATTTATAGCGTTTTTAAAATTTAAATTTATTTAACAATAAAATCTTTCATTCAATTCATAGCATTGATAAAAGTTTCATTTAATAAATAATGATACGAAAATTGAATTTTTATTTTAGAAAATTATTTACAGTGCAATTTATATTGAATGGTAACACTCAATGCAATTTATAATTTTAAAAAACGCCGCTTTTATAAAAAATTTATTAAATACTGTTTAATTGTTTGCTGACGTTTTTTGTTTAAGTTCAGAAGGCTGAACTTAAATATGTATAACGTGTTATTGCATTTAAAATTAAAGCGTAAAGTGTGATTAGCCAACATGATATTTTTTGTGAGCACAAAAGAGCGCCGACCGCAAGATTCGTGAGTCCATTGTGAAGTCATTTGGTCGACGTTTTTATCTCTCCAGGTCTACGACTCCTCAATCGCAAAACTCATGTTCACGGTCACGATTTTTTTTTTGTTCTTCGCGGCAATGTTGTGAACTCGCGATTCAAAACATCGAACAAAAATAATGGCACGAGTTTTTTGGGCCGAAGGAAATTTTATCTCTCGACCGTTCAGAGGTGATCGTTTTGTTTCTCCGGCGCGCAAAACAAAAAGGTACAAAACAGTTGGCGCGGAAATTGTGCTCAATCATTTGAACGCAGACAAATGAGAATCTCGAACAGCATCAAGTATATTTTCTTACAATAATTACCGCTTAAGCGCGACTAATTTATGAGCCGATGGAAGAGATAGCGTGGAAAAAGCTCTTCTCAGCGGCACGCAGCCTGTAATTTTGCCACGTTCAGCAATTTCTGTTATTTATAATGTCACAATAAGTCATAAATTACGGTGGAAATTTGCACACAATTAAAAAGGAAGATATTTTATAGCTAGAATCAAAGATTACAACAAAAATTTATGTGGTTTTATAGCAAGAACAAATGATGATTCTGATTTTTGTATTATTTTAATTGATAATATTTGATATTATTATTTTTGGAATAGGAAATTCTTCCAAATTGTTGCAAAAATTTACATTTTGATTAAAATCAATCGTCATTTAATTGATGGACACAAACGCAAGACCAATAATTATTAATTAGTAATTATAAGTTACATAAAAAATTCTTCCACTTTGTTCTTTCAGAGGAATTTTTTTAATTTTTACGCCCTGATTAAGTGTTTTAGGAAAATTTTGAAGAGCCCACTTGCAACTTAATCACGATTTGTCCTCAATGCATATAATTGTGATCAATAATCATAAAAATTATACTATTACAATCGAATTGATTTAAAAAAAATAATTTTAATAGATAGCTTCAAGTAAAATGTATAAATTGAAAAAAAAATTAATAAAAAATAAATTAATATTCAAACAAAATGTCACTTTTTATCAATTTTGGCGCAGTGATTGTCAGGAAGCTTCAAGTTTGAATTCAATTAAAATTCCTGGTGCGTCCGTCTTTTATCGTTTCAGGTTCCACCGACAAGGCGCAGAGGTCAAATCGATTATTCAAGGAAGCGGTCAGTCCTCTTAAGCAAAATCGATTTGGGACCTGTGAGTGATTCATGCTGCGTTCAGGGCGATTTCTTTAATGGTGCCGCGCGCTCGTGCTGTCACTCGCTGCGAGTGCGTCGATTTATTTTGCGGCTCCAGCAGAGCCAGCGAGTGATTTTATTTTGCACCAGAAGCTCACAAAAGAAAACTGCTGCTTCTTTTGTCTCTTTTTTGCGTTTTAGCTCCGACCAGACCAGTTCTGCGACATCAACACAGAGTATATTAAAGGGCAGGCGACGCGTGTTCGGAATAAAAATTATGTAGTAGAATTACAATTAACAAAGTAACAATTAGAAAAATTCACTATAATTCAATTGCTTTTCAAAAATTAAACCGTAGGAGATTTTATTTTTATTTCTTCTGAGCTTGAATGTAAAAAAATGACAAACAACGTCGCCTTTTTGTTGTCAGCTCAAGGTAAAAATATGTCAGGAGAACAAAAAAAAAGGACAAAACGGGTTGAGCGGATAAGGCGACCGACTTTTGTTATTTCTGCTTTTGTGACAGCAAAGGCTGAACAATGAAATGAGCGCGGATCCGCCCTAGCTGAGATATTTTATGTCTGTTTTTTTTGCGCTATACGCAAGTGAGCGCCCAAATGTGGAAGCTCCTTTCCGTGTGATGTGTATAAATGATAATTTGCATGCCTTTTAAGGTATCGTTTTTCAATGCGCGCGGCCAATTATTGCTCGCATGATTTGTTGCCAATTGTCGACTCATTGTTCTCCTCCAACCGCTAACAAGCCAATTCAAGCAGCCAAGTAGAAAATGGAACTATTTGCAGACAATCGATAAATATGAACAAAACAATTGGTTGTTTTGCATGCAAAAATAAGTGACTTGTTAAATTTTCAATGCAGATCAGACATACACGTTGAAGCGTTATTGATTTTTTAAATTTTTAATTTGGCGAATTTAATTGAAGCTTCAATTATATAAAAGAGATTGAAATTTTAAGTTGTGTTGTTCACTCTTTTATGTAATTCAAAATTTTATTTTTAAAACTTTCTGCTGCACGATTTGTCAAAGAAATTGACAGAATTACAGAAATGTTGCTTCCATTTACAACCAGAACCGACGCACAAAAGAAACTATTTTCTATTTTTAGTTATATATCAAGTCAAATAAGATTGCTTTATTTGGTTTTTTACTGTTTTTAGAGCGATCATTTAAAGTTCAATTTTAATTTTGTATTATTTCAAGTCTCACCAAGCAGATAGGATAAATTAATTTTATGCACATCCTGTCATCCTGCTGCTTTTTTCCACGCATTTTTGCTGACCTTATCCCATTGTTAGCAGGAAATAGAGTCATTTACTTCACTTGAGCTTAATCTGCTGCATTAAACTGCAATTGAATGCGAAGCAGGAATTTCAATGAGCCGTCATTAATATTTATATTCGCTGCAAAGGGTATTCAATACACCTTCATCCTTTTTGCCGTTGGATTACAATTAACATCCAAGTCCTTCTGTAATTTTTATTTGTTTTGCTGATGGAAATAATTCCAGATGCTGTCGCGTCCAGCCTCTCCTCATCTCTAATTATAAACTGCACTTGAGAAAATTATACACATCGCGGTGCGCGGACTCGTCATTCCAGAAATAGCAGCTCAGCTTTGGACTCTGTGGCGTAATTATGAAGAGCGGCCGTTACAAAATCAACGTGGAAATAAGAAAATATGTCTGTAAATTATAGTTGCTATAGGATATGTCTTAATGATTGGTTTATGGAAAATTACATTTTATTTCGTTTATGCACGGCAACAATATTATTTTTATATCATTTTTGTCATGAAAATTAGAGAAAATTTTATTTTATCAATTTTTATATTATTTAAATTTTAATTGTCATAACAAAGAGCAAATGTTATATATATTCTTTGTTGTATATATGAGAAGATGAGCAATTAGAGCCATTGAACTTTTTTAATCATTCCATTATAATCAAGAGAATCTTAGAAGTTACTCGTCACTCATCCGTATGTAATCGTATCATAACAAAAATCATCAAAAATGACATAATCTATCCAGATGGATTTTTTTACGATTTTTTTCTGTTGGGTTTGATTACCATGATTGATAAAAATGTGTTGTGGGAGTGCTGGCGGCGCGGTGCGGGTGATCTCATATATACACACAACACACACGCAGACACTCTTGAGCAAAATCAAAACATGGCGCGTTTTTAATTTACGCCACGGGTCTATTTTTAGCATCCTCTTTGGCCGGCTGCAGCTCTCTTCGCAACTTTTTTTAAACCACGCAGCGCCCACGAGCCGCCGCTAGTCATTCTTACTTAGTATTGACTGAAAACTATCAAGAGCCTCAAGAGTAAAAAAGTTTAATCAAAACTGATGCAATAAAATTAATGATTAATTTTATAAGTGGATTTCCAATGTTCAACCATTTTTAATTACTATTGATTCATCACCCAAGCGTAAATGAATGTACAATTTAAATTGAAGCCTTGAAATTGAAGTAACAATAACAGAATAACTGTTAATGTTTAAATAAAGGTGAGAATCAGTAAAATAGTCATTTAACTATAGAACTATAATTTATATCAAAAATTTTAAGAAAATGTTCATCATAGAGAAATTTGGTAAATAAATAACGAAGGAAAAGTAGCCACAAATTAAATTCCATGAAATAAATTGAACTAGAAATTTTCATACCAATTAAATTTTTTTTCTCCAAATTCCGCTAATCAACTCTGCCACAAAATAAAATATAATTTGCTTTGAAATTTAGTAGAAAAATACTTGAATTGGTGAAAACCACGTTAATTAAAGAACAAAAAAAAATATGCTATAAGTTTTAAGTTCCATGATTTTTATATCAAACTGTAGACTGTAGTAAAATGTAAAAAGTTTCTAAACACCAGGAAACTTAAATTAATTTTTATAAATTTTTTCCTTTTTTTTTAAATTTCATTTTCATCTATTTTTCCTCAAGAGGAATGCTGGTGAAATTAAAAAGCAGTTTCTTTTCATTAAAGGAGGAATAAAATTTCTCATTGCAATCTAAGTTAAGTCTCGTCTCGGACGTGTTTGGAAGAATGATGCGGCGCGAGACCGCCCATAAATATAAATTCATCGCGGCTGTCATCAATCAAATCTTTTAAAACGCAGTATACAGAAATGGTATTTAAATTTGACGAATAGCCCGAGCATGGCGGGGAGACGAAAAGAAGCTGCCGGCCGTCTTGCTTTGATATAAATAATTCATTCCCTCTTTTTCTCATCTCGCAGAGAGAACTTCTTCTTGTACAAAAAGAGACGCCGCTCGTCAATGCTTCTTTATTCTGATTCGGCCCTTTTCCGCCAGATTTCCTCAACTGCGTATAAAATGCAGTCAGGAGGAAAATAAACTTCGCGAGATGAAAGGAGTCGGTTGTTGTTGTGTCGCGGACTCTGAAATGACATCACCGAGGGCGTTAATGTTCTCTGGGGAGAAAGAGCGTATCTCTGAATTATAATAGTGCCACCTCATTCTTGCAGCAAAAAAAAGAGTCACGACTGTGAAATTTTTACTCTTTGCTGAGAATCGCCGGAAAGAATCTCAAAACAACGCGTTTCCTTCTTACGTGATGGCATTGAAAATATATATCAGTTCGTCTCCTGATTATCAAATTTTGAATTAGAATAGTAAAAATCATAATTTGATTAATTTATTTGTTAGCTAAATTAAAGACTTGAATTAAAATTAATTTTGAATTGGTTATGACTTTAAAACAAAAATACAATGAGATGATCTATGATATGGAATTCACGAAATGCAGCACGCTTTTTTGTGCAAGTTTTAGCCTGTTTTAGGCTCTTAAATGTTAAGGTATTTTTAAATGTTAATGATTATTTAGTGAAAAAAAAAAATAAATAAAAAAAATAGAAAATTCCGTTTTAAATTCATATTTTGTTAAAAAAAAAATGATTTGTCCTTAATATTATTATTATTCTTTATTGACTTATGAGACGTCGTAGATTTTCTTTTTCCTTAGTTAATATTTTTTTAATTTGTACCTGATTTAATTCGTAAGTATCGACTTAAATTTTAACAATTTAATTGATCCAGCATATTTAAATTTTCAGAATTTTGTGAAACATAATTTTTTTATTTTCAAGAAGTGTTCTCGTGATTCTGCGCTTTTCGAACAAATAAGCTGTCAAGGAAAATGTCTTATCTAGTCTTCAATTTCCTGACACTTACTTTTCCAACCCTTGACATAATAAAAAGTATCACGAGCTGTCAGCGTGCGGTCAAGGTCGGCGACGCTCTCTGAAAAAAAAGCAGGCGGAGGCGCACTTTTGGCGCCGGCGATGATCGATTTATTTATCGTGCCGGCGCGCGTTGAGGCTCCTCGGTGGGATGCGCCTTTTATAGTGCGGTGGACACGCGCAAATTAAACGCCGAAACGCTTAGCGAGATTTATTAAGCGATGCGCACACAAGGGCTGACACAGATACGCCGACTGACCTATTTGTTCAAGGGCGAGTTAAGGGTGGAGTCTGCTTTCGTGTATTTTACCCGACTATTGACTTGGCACATTATTGCGAAAAAATTATGGTTCATTAACTATAGAAATATTATTATTTGCAAATAAACTTTTATTATATTTATGAAAATTTCTATTGATAATGATAAATAATTTAAAAAATTAAAATATAATGATTAAAAATATGTGACAGATGCTTTTTAATAAAATGCAAGAATATCAGTTTATCCAAAATCGGCTTCTCGGAAACAGTGAATGCTGAACGCTTCAGTTTTTATTATAAAAATTTATAATAGTTTTAATCTGCGTTGCATCTCAATAAAAGAATAAGATTAAGATAATAATTAACAAATCATAATAATGAAATTAATGGGATCTCAATAAATTTGAAATAATTTGCAATAATATACAAAGGATGAGCAGGATAGAGAGGAAAATGTATTTTTAAACAAAACATCACATTTCAACAATAATTAAATTATTTGTATTTATCCGTCGATTTCATCTACATAGTTTTCACGCACAATTCTGCTTTCGGTGTACTCAAAGTGATCAATGGCATTGAGGTCTTGCAGTGGGGATTCCTGGATCTGTTTCTTGAATGAAGCATTAGCACCATAGCACACCATCTTTTCAAGTCGGGGAGCATGGACTGGAAGCAGCAGAAGAAATTGGAGCAACTCGGCAGGCTGCTCAAGATGGGAGCCGAACTTGAACTTTTTGAGTTGCTGCAGAATTTTTCCCTTAATCAAGGGCCGGTGCAATCGATTGCAAACCTCAGGGGTCATGGTAAAGCTGTTCCACATTATGAGGCACTCAAGAAGTGGAGCTGTCAGGACGAGGGCCATCAATTGAGAGGCGTAGGCGAAGCTGAGCCTCCAGTCCAAAGAGAACTCCTTCAGGTTTTGGAAGTGACTGGCGTCCAGTTGGTCGTTGAAAGGCTTTGTCTCATTGATGTAGATGCCAAAATCGTACTTTAACTTTGACAGGCGCGGGCAAAGCATGAAAATGTCGCAAACATCCACCTGCTCTTCCTCAATCTTCAGTATGAGTTCCACCAACTGCTTGCCACAGATGGTCAAAATTTGGAAAAAATGAGGATTCCATTTTCAACATATACCATTTCCAAAACCCTCAGGTTGGTCAAGAAGGCACAGGGCGCTGGTGAGACGTCTCCAAGAATGTTTCCAACAAACTTGACATGCCTCAAGTAGGGTGTGCGACGAAAGTCGAAAAAATGGTTCGTCGATACATGCTCAAGTTGAAGGGGCGGCAGTCTTGGATCTTCGTCAGGGAGATCCTGCCCATGGCTGAGAATCCTACTCATGTAATCAGGATAAATAGAGCACACACGCAATTGGGGCAAGTTCTTGACACACTCCAAACCAAAATTCTTCAAGAAGTTCCATTGCCTCTCTCGGTCCTCCTTTTATTAGAAGATAAATAATATTAATTTCAAAAACCATTTAAAAATTAATGTTTTTGACTAACCTGACTCAATTTCCTACACAATCTTGCTTCCCAGTGAATTTTTAGGTCTTCCAGCCTCTGCAGACAAAATAAGCTGGCAAACAAGGGGGGCGAGACCATGTTGAAGGAAACACCGAGGGTGATCAAGTTCGGGAAGCGCTGCACAATCCAAGCCATGTCTTTTTCGTCACACTGGTACTGCTCAAGGAGCATGTGCTGGAGATTGGGCAACTGGAGCAGGAAGGTATTGACAACTTGGAGCTTGAATTTGCCCACTCCTTTCACTACTTGGTTAGTTTCATATGAAAGTGGCGCAGGATGCTTCCGAGAGTCTGAAATTTTCTCCAAATTCGGACACTTCTTGACAAGCAGTTTCCAAGTGTCCAGGTCGCGCTGGTGGTCAGACTTGTGGTAGGTGGAGAAAATGACAAAGTCGAACTTCTTGGTCTTAGCGTCCAACAGGCTGTTGACCATTTTGAAAATCAAGTCCTTGACCGCAGGCATGGTGAGCTGCTTCTCCCTTTCAATGCCCTTGGCTTCCATCCGGTCCAAAATTTCCAGTTTCAAATTACAAGCTGAAGACAAAAATTAAGTTACAATTGCAACAAAAACAACTGTGAAAAAAGAACTTACGCAAGTGTGGCAGCAGAGGTGACGACTGGATGCGGACGTCGTAGCTGATGATTTTCTGCATGGCCAATTCCCTCAGGGACACAAGATTTTCAATTCTTGACCTCTTTATTTTGGCAACCGCCAATGCCCTGGGAAACGTCTCGGTCGTTACAAAATCGCTGAAATTTTTTGTGATAAACAGATCAATTTCCAGTTATCGAAAATTTTAAATTAACGCCATTCATACATACAAAAGTTTAAGAATATAATTAAATAATCATTTTCTCGAGACATATTCATTTGCATTTATAACCAGAAAATTTGAAACTCACCAAGATTCTTCCATTGCGAAGGAGCCGCAACGGATTCGCAACGAATTTTCGATTTCAAAATTAGAAGAACGCTGGCAACAGTCGGGATTATTTCACTCCTGTTGTTTTGTTTTTGTTTCTATCCAGCAGGCAACGATCTTCCCCTCACTTCCCCCCTCTTGCTTGTTTCAAAATTTGCGAATCCTCTCCTCCCTCTACCGGCTGATCCCCATCATTGCTTTTGCTACTTTTTACTAAAAATTAATTGCTTTCCCGTTTTCAATGAATATTTTGTTTCATATATTAACAACTAATTAAGGAATTTCTAAAATATAAATATTTATTATTTGGTTTTGTTTGATTATTGCAAAATAAAATTTATATGTAAAAAAAAAACTTTGCAAAACGCAGTTTATTTTTAAACAGAAATTAAAATTTATCAACCTATTTTTTTTTAACAAATGCCAGAACAGGAAGCTGCGTACCTTAATATCCTTAATCAAGGAGGCATCACTTCGCATTGTTATTATTATTTATTTTTCTCGGTCAATACAAAAATTTTAATTGAATTAATTTAATTTAATTGACATAAATTTCAAAATTCAAAAACTATCCAAACGAGCTTGTTAGAAATGGCACTTTTTGATATTGTTTTGAAAAATTGAATGGTGCATTATGTGTGGCAAATTTATATCACTTTAAAAATTGAATTTTTGTCTTCAAAAAATAAATAATTAAATAAAACCATTTTTGAAAGTTAGCAAAAGCCTTCAAAACGTAATAAATAGATCTATCGCAGTAATTTAATTCAACGGTACCATTTTAATATAAATTGAATGGTAACACGTGAGGAGAATTTTATGAAAAATTGAGACCGGGCGAGCTTTGTTGCAAAGAATAAAGAAATAATGAAAAAAATAATAAATAAATAAACGACACCCCATAAGGCCACGTGCGGTCTGCTGGTACTTTAAAAACCTAGGGTTTTGTAGAGTCAAAACTAAAAGTAAGTGGCAGCTAAGTGCGAGGAATTCATTAAAAAAAAATTAGGAGAATTTAATTTTAATTAAAAAATTTCAGAAATATATAAACATGGGGTCAGTTGTCCTGTCCTATATTTTTTTAGCAACGAGGTTCACCCGGTTTCAATTTTTCATACAAATTTAGTGTTTCTAATTTCCATTTGAATTAAAATTTTTATTATTATTATTATTCCTTACAGACGTGAGATTTTTGCGTATGTGTGCGCCTCCAACCCAGTGTTTATTAGAAACCCTATTTGGTAAGGGCGTTCCTGAGTAAAAACTTTCCTCGGGATATAACTTTTCGCTCCTTGAGATGCTCCATGACAAGTAATAATAGTCAGTTGCAGCTCAAAAGAAAGAAAGAAACGCATAGCAACGTTGCCACGCCGTATGATTAACGAACTCACAATAATCAGAGTCGTCGGCCGGTCGCACGCACCTGTTCCGTCCAAACATCGCGAATCGCAGCTGATTGCAAAATTGGCCAATTTTCCAGTGGCACTCAACTCGGACCGGCCGAAACTCCAAGTTGACCACCGACTTGAAACAAATTCCTCACTCGCAAAGTGGACACGGGGGACAAAGTGTGGCGGAAAATTCGCGAGACGTCTCGAGTCTCATTAGGTGGTCCATTCGTTCCTCTCTTTAAATGCCTTTCCTTATTAGGAGAAAACGCTGATTGCGTTTTGCTTGTTTGTCTGAAACGAGATCTCTCTCTCGGCACATCCTGCACGCCACATTTTCCCCATTTATATATCTCGGGTTCGCGCAAAGTCTGCGCCAATCTCGTAAAAAGCGCACAATTTTCCCTGCCGATGCAAATTCATTAAGAATCTCGGGCTGAATTCGAAATACCTGACATGGCGACAGCCCATTTAAGGAAGGAGCCGCGGCTGCCTCTGATTCCCTCAAGAATGTGCGGAGGTGTAAAAAGGCCGCGCGTACACACAAAATGTAAAAAAGGGAGAAGAGCGCGCTTCTCTCTCTCTCTCTGACAAGCGATGCTCGTGTTAGAAGAGTGAATAGAAAACGAGCTAATCAAATTCACAGGATCTGAGCCGATCGCATACTTGAGGTAATAAATTTATTGAAAATTGTCCGAGGCGCCACAGGGTGATCTTAATTTTTTTTTATGCACCAGTTTTGGCAAAAGCTTTGCTGGTTTTTTTTTTTATATAATTCCATTTTTTTTGCGAAGGGACCTCAAGCGGAGATCAGAGGCAGGACAAGTTTTCTTGCAAACAACAATTCGCTCGCCATCACGTGGTGCTCTATTGGGAGATACGGTAAAAAGTGGCGCTGTGTTTAGCATGGTATTCACTGACAATAATAGAATAGCGGTTGTCTTTTTGAATTGCTTCTGAAAACAGGTTGTCCGAAATCTTCTACGCTAAAAAAATAAACGGAAAATCTAGCAATTAATCTTCATTAATAGTAAATTTAAAAGATTTTTTTAATATTTTTGTGGCATCTTTACAAGGGACATGTTTAATTTTTTTTAAATGCCTTAGTTTGTAAATTTTTGGAAAAAATATCCATTCTATATTTAACATATTAAACCAAAGTTTTTTTTTCATTCCTTTTAAGATTCAGTGACTTTTTTTATAAATCAGAAATTAACATTACTTTCTTTCTACAGTTTCAATGAAATATTGATACCCCAAAATTAATATAAAAATTAAATACAAAAAATATATTCCTGTTGAATCTTAAACTGTGCATCAATAAATTTCAGCGTTGTTTTGCTCTAAAAATTAACTAAAATAATTTTAAAAGATTGCGAGGCACAAGTTTTTGACTCAAAATTCCCTTAGAACTTGGAAGTACAAACATTGACACGTATATAAATATAAAACAAGATTTTATTTTAAAGAAATCAATAAAATTTTAATTATTTTATACCATTTACTAAGTCTGAACTGAAATTTTCACTAGCTGGTTCAGCTTATGGTTGTATGTTTATTATGAATTTCAATCTGCCCTGAAAAGAGTGAGCTACAATATCCCTGCACGAAGTAATATAATAAAACTCGGAATCGGAACCTCTCTGGGAGTGAGCAATAAAACACAGTCAGAGATGAGCGCTCACTTTATAATGAATAGAGATCTCGTTCGCCGGCGGGGAGAGAAAAGAAAATATCATTTCCAGGGCATAAAGCACGGACGAAAATGCCGACTTAGGCGGCGCGGCAATAAAAAAGCAGCGTGTTTGCGCTCATTATTCACGTGAGTGTTTGGAGAGGCTTCGCTCGGTGGTGATAAAAGATAAAAATGCACACCTGAGTGCGAGCGGCCGATGTAAATTAGAAGTTCCAATAGAGGCGCAGAGGGGCATTGTTTCCAGGTGCCCCTCTGGGAATCAGTCTTAATGAATGCGGAATAAATCGCACTTTTCACCGTCAAGGTGTGCGGTCGGATCGAAAATTACACTCGTCGTTCCACGAAGAGCTCTTCATTAAATAGGCCTTAAGCGACAAGACCAACACGGACAAATATATACTTTTTGTGCAAATGTGCTAAAAAATCTGATATTTATTTTCGAAATTTAAAATTAATGGTTTTAATCGTTTAAGTTTCAAGATGATGTCTTCTTTAATTCAGAAGTTTTTGCAACATCTTTGCTTTTTTCGCTTTTTTGTCACAAAAAATTAATATTTCCATCTTTCAATTATTGTTTTGATTCCCATGTTAATTATTCGTACCGATTTGTATTCAAAAGCAGCAATTTAAAAATAAAATTTTTGATAAACCTACCTTAATTCATTGTGAAAAAGTCCAATTTTTCTCGAGCTGACCGAAGGCGAAAGATCACAGAGGCGTGCACTCGACCCGCGGTCCGAAGCGATACTCGCGCGCAGATAAAATATCAACTCGACGGATCCACGCGGGTTTTGGTGCTCACCGACCCGAGTGCCCAAGTGGGGAGAACGAGTGGTGCCTCGGTGCGCACTGCCATCTGACTAAACCAGCTCGCACTCGCCAAAGCAGAGAACTCGTCTCAATTTTGCCGCCAAAAACACGTGCATTCGTTCTAAAATGAATTAAAAAAAAAAAACTGATTTTCTTTTTCTGCTTTTTTACAAGCAATCATAATTTATATTAAGAAATATAATAATTCAAATTTACAAAACAATAAAAACTTACTAAATTTATTTAATTTAATACGTTTGTATATCTACAACTGTGATCTTCTTTTCTTTGACCCAATTGAATTACGATACGACCGATTGTGAGTATCTTTTTAATAATTTTTGGCCATAACATAACATAATAGCTGCAATGATAATAATTAACATAAATATTAAGCATGTTTTCTACTCCAGTTAGAAACAATGTGATTTGTGAAATAATTAATTTCTCATTGTCAGTTTGAGTTAATTGAAACTGACAGATCCTGACATAGATCTCAAAAAGTCTTTTGTAATTGTTCAATGAGTAAACTTTGTATGCACATATTGAGTCGGATTTCACAAGGCTTTGGAAATCATAAAATCACTGCGACAGGCAGATATCGGGAGAAATTGCAGGGGTCTGCAATTATTATACGATTTTGCAGTCAGCCCTGCTTTCTTCTGCGGATTCCATCCGACATTTCTGGCAAATGCCAACATAAAGTTCCCAATTCATAGGCCGCTCACCTTCATTATCCTTGAAATTTTGTACAACCAAACCCATCATCTAGGGAAATCTGTCTTAACGGTACCTTTCTCGAGGAAGATATAAAATTATAGAGAAAAATTACAGATTTTTTTTTTTTAATATTCTTTTCATAATTAGATTTGATTAAATTTTGTCTGGTTCACTCTTTAATTAATTTTCTTAAGTCAGAATTCACTCAGGGATTATTGCTTTCTGATTTTTGATATGGAGTAAGTTCTTTCTAGAATTTATAAGGGCCTGGTCCACCTTCCCTCTCGAACGGGAACGGCTGAAGTGTGTCGGCAAGTTGCTTTGCCAGATTTTCCGTGGACGTCGCAAGCACGGTCCTGCCAAACAAATCGAACGGCTCTCCTGGAAAGAGAGCCAGAACGTGAAAAATTGAAAGGCAGAAACTCGGTCAATATACAAAGTGGTTTTTAGACTTTGCTTTGATGTTGAGAACTCGACAAGGAAAATGTTTTTTCACTCAGAGAAGTATCAATGGATGCGAAAAAAATCGTTAAAAAATCACTACACATTTAAAAAAAAAAAATTTAGTGATAAGTGATAAATTTTGTTTATAATTAATTTTTTTTCTTAAAATTAAAATACTAAATTCATGTATATTTACGGCCTTAATTTTTTGATAAATCCTGTCAATCGATTGTTTTGAAAAATGCAAGTAAATTGAAGAATCAAATTTTAAGAAAATATAAAATTAATATTAAAATTGGGGCTGATGTGACTTTTAATTAAATTAAAATTAAAAAATGAAAGTATTAAACTTTTTCATCTATTATCTGTTAATAAATAATTAATTACAAGTGATTCACAATATGAATGAAAATTAATAAATATTAATAGTTCTGGCTTTTTAAGCGATTTGCTTGCTTTGAAATTGCTTTTCGACGGGCCCGTGGGAACGAATTCACAAAACCAAATCTCCCCGAAACTTCGGAAGGACATCTCGTTACCGGCGATAAATCCGCGCTTCTCGGGATTTGCATAAATTTGCAGTTTAAGACGGAACAAGCTTCGTCAGCGGGTTTTGCATCCGCAGTCGAGTACAACAGAAGTAGTGCTCAGCTCACCGAGGATGCTGCGAACGACGCCGCCCGCCTCCGTCACCAGCAGCACGCCGGCCGCGAAATCCCAGCTCTTGGGCCCCTGCTCGAAATACGCGTCCAGCGCGCCCATCGCCACATATGCTAATGTAATCGCCACGGATCCAGGTATGCGGAAACTGCAAACAATAAATTATACATGTGTCACGCGTGTGCGGCGGTGTGTTGAAAGCAGCACGCACAAAGGCGCACGTACAGACCGACCGACCGACCAACCGCCCCGGATAAATCGCAAGATTTAGTTGTGGGGATTTTTCCACCCGAGTTTGCGAAATCTCCTTTTTTTTTTGTTTTCAAACAATGTGGGATAAAAAGGGGAAAACGTGAAATCTGCAGAAACTATAGACTTGGGAAAAAGATGTTTTATTTGCGAAAATGCCCTAATAAAATGTTTTTTTTTCAATTCAATTCATTTTATTTTACTCCAAACAAGTCAAACAATCAATTGTGAAAAATTGGTTGGGAGAAAAATAGGCACACAGTGCTAGTGAACAACTCACTGAAACTCAAAGCCGAGTATTTACCAAGAGGCGATAAATACCCGACTACTCGCCGCACTGCAGCCTAAACTACGGGAAAAAAAGTTTAAATTTGTTTTACATGCTCTTGTTAAGTGATTGTTTCAATTGAAATAAGAATATAAATTAATAAAACACTAATAAATCAGAACTAATAGGCATGGAAAAATTGATTGGAAATATTTTTTATTGGAAAGAGACTCTTTGGAAAAAGTTTTGTTTGAAAGGTAATGATTTTAGAATGATGCTTTATAAGCAAAATTGTAACTGATGAATAAGGCATTATTGGGAATGTAATTATTTTGCCATAAATATCAAATAGGTTTAAAATGTAAATTCTGATACCTTGTAAATTTAGACTTACGCTCTTGCCACCGCTTTGACGCTCTTGGCATTGGCGATCGAAACCTCCAACCGGTCAAATTGGCTCTGATAAGACAGAATGTCACCGCCAACAATTGCAGCGCTTAATTCTGAAATCGGAGAAAATTTTAAATTTTATTGATTTTATTAATAATTGAAAACATCTGGTTTTAATATTTCTTTTTTTTGTGAGTTTTAATTTATTATTTTATACAATTTTATAATTTTATTACATTTTATTGATCCGCGCTATCTGCTGAGAATTTTATAATTTTCAATCAATCAATACCAAAAAAAGACTTCAAGATTTAACGCTTCCATTAAAGATTATAAGCACATCAATTGAAACGTTTAGAAAAACCTAATGAAGCGTTGATTTGATGAACAATCTTTGCAATTATTTGTGCTAATGAGGAGGTTAAATAAAAAATCTCCAGCACTAATGCCTCCGAAGGAAAAGAAAACTTTTTAGTCGTTTATAAAAGCGACGAAGAAAAGTTTTTCCGACAAACAAGTTCTGCACTAATCGCGTCTCAGCGAAAAGCATTTTCATTTGAAACGCGGACGCGCTGCCAAGGCGGCTGATTTTTCATTCGGATGCTTTCTGTGGCAGCCGAGAGATTACTGGGTGCGGAAAAGTACCAAGAGGAAATAAGCGTGGGGCGAGTTATGGCGGGCCATTAATTTACACAAAAACACTGCACGGACCAGTCGTTTTGGAGACGCTCAACTTTCGTCCATTGAGAAAGGCGCCTTGGCCCCTCTTGGCAGTGAAGAGTTGATCCAGCACCGGATTAAAGACAAACGCCAGCTGGGGACAATTTTGCGCCCACAAGCCGACGCTGACGCATACCTGCGGAAACAAAAAGAAACTCTCACTTCTACGTTTTATACAAAGAAAACCTATGGAATTTCAGATGTTTTGAAAGTTGCAAATTGATCTTGATATTATATCTGCCAAATCTGCACTCATAAAATTCAAGAATATTTAAAAAAAATTAATTAATTTAAATTATTAAGACCCTAATAATCTCCTAGAAATTATTTGAGAAATTGATTAATTTTGTTTCCAAAGAGAAATTGTGGAAATCGCAGAAAAATAATTCAAATAATTTCCAAACTCTTTCCAATTGGTGATTTTTACCAACCCTAGGAATAAAAAGTCTAAAAGGGTGAATCATTTTTTCCATAAATAATCGGAAATTGTAATTAACTTTTGATCTGTTGTAGATTCTGGCCATTTTTTTCTTTAAGGAAACATTTTACTATCACCAATAGTTTCAATTTTTAAACTTGGATCTTTCATTTTTTTTTTTTTTTTTTTTTTTTTAATTTCAATAAAATCTTAAAATTCCTCCTGAAAAGAAAATCCTCTCTTTTTCCTTCATGAATCCGCTCAAAAATATTCAACTATTTCACCAAAACGGTCTTAGTTTCACAACAATATGAATTATTCGCCACCCCTTTTCATCCCCCGTCGTGTTTGTAAGAGGAAAAGAGGCATTTCTTGCTCATGCAATTTTCACACGCGGCCAAACTTGCGCATTAAAATTTCATTTGGCCGCCAGATTCGTCGGCAGCGTTATTTTTTTTCTCTCGCCCTCTTCTTTAGCTTTGAGCCGAAACTTTTCGTATTACGAGCGATTAATTTTAAACAAGAATAATGAAGTGCGTGGGTTGGTTGCTGCGTTTGGCAACTCCAGTGCATTATCAGCCCTCGCGTCTGTATCGTATTTTGCGGCCGCATTGTGTGCCGGATCGCGCCGCGATTAATTATTTATCGGCACCAACCTGCGGGTAGCCGTGCACGAAGTTGGTCGTGCCGTCGATGGGGTCGATGATCCACGTCGGCTCGACGGTGCTCGCCTCGAACTCGCCCCCGGAGGAAACGCGCTCCTCCGCGATGAACCTGCGGCAAGCACGAAAACAATATGAGATAATTAATCGATTTTACGCGCTGATAGCTATTTGCGGAAAAGCATCACATTTTGAGATAAAAATGTTTGAAAAAATAAAACATAAACGCTATTAAAAGTATAAAAATATAAGTTAAAATTTTCAATTCTTATAAATTTAAATAGCCCCTCATAATTGGTCAAAACTATCAAATTTTAATAATTTGAACTGTTACATAATGAATTTACAATTAGATGGAAAAAATTACCGTCTATTAAATCATTAAAAAAAATCACAAAATTTGTCCAGCCAACTTTTGTATACTTTTTGTATTTTAGTTTTCATAGATTTGAATTAAAAATTATACACTAATATTGCTAGTTTTTATGTGGGAAGTCTCTAAGTAGAGTTTATAATCCAATATCTCCTGTTTCAAATTTATTTTTTACTATATCCCTGCTAAAGTTGGCTATTAATATGTTTATTTTATGGTATTGGGTTAATTTAGGTGTCCATTAGGGGTAGCAGAAATTTTCTACTAAATTAGTGCTTAAGGCCTCCTTATTGACATCTACAACTTCTGTTTGCTGAAAATCGGCCCGAAATTTTTGGACCCAGATTTTTTTATAGATTCCTGCCCACCAGTGGAGTTGATTGCACAAAGAAAAATGGGGGGTCGCGCGGATTAATCTTGAAATATGATTTTTTAAATTTAACATGGCATTTTATGGAGATTTTTGTTTTTGGCGATTGAAAAATATCTGCCCGAAATTTTTTGCTCAAAATTGCACAAAATGATAATTGAATGACCCTTAACAGATAAGCAGAATTAAATTGGGGGTTCATGGGGCAAACATTTTACATTGCGCATATGGGAGATCAAAAAACCTCTTTGGTACTCTTAGCATTGCAATAAGGAGTCCTTAATATTATTTGTCCTAAAATATACATTTTTAGAGGAATGTATTTTTTAACAGTTTTAACGACAATTTTTCATCACATCAAAAGATATTCAATTTTTTCCATTACAATGAAGGACTAGATTTTAAATTTAATCAATTAAATATTATATTTGACAAGAAGTTGTACAAAATAAACCATTGCTGGCTGTAGAGCCTGATGTTCTCGAGTACTCAAGAGAGTTTTGTTGGGTTATCTATTAACAGTTCAATTTGTATGAATGATAATTTACTGCAAAAAACTTGTTGTTGACGAAGATTTTTCGTCGATAATCAATGATTATTTAATCATTAAATCATTAAATTTTAATGTAACAAAATTTAAACCAAAAAATAATTAAAAATAACAATAATATGTTTGAAAAATTTCTTTAATTTATAAAAATTTTCAAATATGATTTTTTTTTTTTAAATAATACTTTTAAAAATATACATACCTGTGGTTAGGAAATTTATCTTTAAGTCCAGCGATGAGTAAATCCTCCACACGTCGGTCAGTTTCAGTCAATAAATCATCTGCAAAACTTTTTGACTCCACCTTTTTGTCTTTTCTCTCAAAAGCGGCCAAAATTTCCTGCGCAAAAATGACAAATGAGAGTAAATTTGAAATACACAAGCGTTGGTCATTTCATTCATATCTCGATACAAACAAAGTAGTCGCGCATTTTCCACGGAAAAGCTAATATGAATGATGGTGGCCGATTTTTTATTTTGTGCGCGAAATAAATTGGCGACATCAATCAGGCGAGCAGCTGCAGACGACGCAGAGATTGGTCCAGCTTTACAAATGAATTTTTGCCTGAAGTGTTTGGGAGCAAAAACAAAACAAAATTTAATAGAAATTCAGTGCAACATTTTACTTTATACGTATTTTTAATAATTGGAAATCTATCAAAATCAAATTATAGCAGATTTAAAACGTTTTTTTTGCACTTTTACGCACGAGCTGTTTGTTTTAATTACAATAAATGTGACTTTAATTTAAAACTCAACATTCAGCACTTGATGGTTATAAATACACGCGGTAAACATCATACAAAAGACCGGAGGATCAAGTCGGTTGGCGCTGAATTTATTATAAAAAAAGAAGTGCAAAACAACGCAAGGTTACAAATGATTTTGCATTATGTGTTTGCGGCGGCGTGATTTATATTCATGCTGATAAGATTAATGGCACGAGAGAGTGGCTGCCTCGGCTGCTCCAGAAAATATGTGCCGTTGTCAAAGTTGATATTATGGTAGGCAAGCACGCGGCACTTTGTACAAAAATAATAAAAAGAAGCAGACAAACGGAGCGAGTCGCTTTTCGACTGGGCCAAACAAACTTTGCTTGGAGTAGGTTTATGGAAATTATGACCTCACTAAATTTTTGATTTTCATTGAACTTATTTTGTAGAAGCAGATAAATTTGTTGAAACTTTATGGAAATAAAATTTTTATAGAATACATCAAAGTCTGCTTGTTATTGATTTTTATTAAAATTACCAAATTTAGCCAAAATATTGTACATTAACATATTTTTATCCCTCCAACAAACCAATTAATTATGATATGAACCATTAAAATAAAATAAAATGACAAATGACTATTTGACAAAGTTAATTTTTACCCAAAAATGTTTTCAATTAAAATTGAGCCACTGTCCAACAATATATGCTGTTTTAGGTTATTCTTTATTTGAAAGCGTTCTCAATATGTGAGGTGAAAATATTTGAAAATTACATTTCAGCTAAATTAGAAAGTTCAGGTAAATTTGCAATAAATTGATCTCATCAAATGTGATCAACAAAAGTAGCAGACAAGAGTTTCTATCAATTTGTTTCAAAATTTTTCCTACTTATAAATGCTCAATTTGGAAGATCCTATTTTATCTCCGCTATTTTGACATTTAATTTCGTCAAACACAAATTATGAATGATTTAAGAAAGAAGAACTTATTTTTTAAGTTATATTACGAATATTTTTTGCCGGCATATTTGAGAAGCAATTAAATAAATTCCAATGAAATTTCCAATTACCTGCCCGGCTTGTTTCACCAAGGGAAGCGCAACCTCGAAGCAAAAATCCACGTCCAGGCCGGCAGACGACATCTTGCTCCTCTCTTTGTGGAGCGAAAAAAGCCAATAATATCGAAGAAGACGACCCAGCAGAAATCACATTAGCCGGCAGCACACTCGCTATTGCATTTCTATCTTATCAGCCCGGCGATCATTAAACCAACATGCAGCGAATGGGAGAGGGAAGCAGCCCAACTTAATCAGCGGAAAGTTTGCAAACTTTCGGGATTTGATCTGCTGGAGTCAGAAGCTGCGGAGCTGCCGATGCACGCTGCCGGCCAGGTATTGATAACGAACGCGCGTCAAAACACAGTCTCAAAACTTTTGGAAGCGACTTATAATTTTTGTTAAGAGATTTAAAAAGAGAGATGCAAAGAGATGTATGATGTAATTAATATAATATTAAACAAATTCAATTTAACTAAATTAATATTAATTTTTATAATTCTATAAATATTTCTCAAGTTATATTTAAAATAATTTTATATTTAATTCTTAAATAATTTTAACAAATTTTACATTAAATTAAATTTTGTTTATTTATTATTTGAAATAAATAGTTTTCATTACTTTAAACTTTTTCTTTTATATTTTCGACAAAAAAATTATAATATATATTCATTCTAATCCAAAATAGTCTTTTCTTTTTTAGTTAAGGACTTTTGTCCAATGAGATTTTGCCCCTGTTTCGTCTGATTTGTTTTATTAAAATGCTAATAATTGAAATATAGAGAACATGCATATTTCAAGTCGGTTTGCTTCAGCTAGAAAATTTATTGATTATTTAAATATGTCTGAATTATCACATTATATAAATTTGGATACTTTTGTTAAACTCTTTTTATCGACTTCAGTTTGCTTTTTGCTTTAAGAAAAAACTGCCTGGTCATGGCTTTTAGCCTACAAGTAAACATCACAACTTAAAATTATTTTATTTTATATCTGTCTCGTCATTTATAAAAGAGGTATAGACTTGAGATTCTGATTTGTTGATGTTTTCGGCGATGCGTGGGCGGCTCTCATTTAATTTAGTGTCGCGCTGATTAAATCACGAAGTTATTATCAAATCAATTTATGCAAATCCCCTAGATGAGCCTTGCGGTGCCAGCGGCAGACGCCAAAATAATTTCGAAAGAGCTGTTTACGTGTGTGCTGCGGGGTGCAGAGAAATTGAATAAAACTCGGGCGGCCACGCTTTGCTGATTTTCCAATAAAACACCATGTTTATTTTTGCCAACAAATCATCGGACAACACACGCTCTCACGCAAAACACACACAGTTGAAACGATGGTTATTTGGCTTTGAGTGGCACACCTGCTTTTCCACTGACAAAACAACCATCAAATGAAAAAAGCCAATATTCCATCCATTGGTACATACAAATGAAATGCAGGCAGTTCCCTTTTTCTGCTATTTACGTATTTACAGAGAAAATTTGATATATTTTCACCAAAAATGCATTTCTCATTACACAAATTTTTACACATTTAACACTTAACACGTCACCTGTTGACTGGATATGTGCGCAAAGTTGCTCTTCCCCCTATTGTTTCAGAGTTTAATTTCAATTAACTCCAATGCCAAAAGTCGTCAAGGCAACGGATTTAAATTTTAACACATTTGTTGGAGCCCTTTTATTAATTTAAGTAATTGTTTTTAACATAAATTTTTGTTCTTATTTTTACTTACAACCATTATTAGCCTATGCGCCCAATTCACTATAACTAACAAGGAATCAAATGAAAACATCACAATCAGAATAAAAAATTCAAATTTTTTTCCACCCATTCCCTTTAATTTTTGATATTGTAACTTTTTTTACTATTTTTTATTCTGCTGAAGAAAGTAAAAAAAAAATACCAAATGAGAAACTTCATATATAAGCAGAAAGGGCTAAAAAAAAATTCGCCAAAATTCCTGCGGAATTTGCTGTTTGACATGTGGTTTTAAAATGGACGGAAATGAATACAAAAAATAATCAAACTCATTTACGTTTGAAAGCGCAATCTGACTTAAGTTAAACGAGTTGGTCGTATCTTCAGTACATAAGAGACAAATTACTGTTAAATCACTTTTCAATTACTATATTTATAATTGGATTGAAATATTAATAACAGAATAAGAAACCTTTAATAACAACTTGAGAAGACTATGCATACTTTCAATTGAATGACTTTCTTGGAGTTAATGAAAGTGGATTGAATTAAAATATATATATGTTTTAAAACTAAAATTATTATTAAAATTACAAGATAAGTTTAATCTGCTGTGTATGATTAAATTTTTTTTTTAAAAATAAATATTAAATTTAAAAAATATTTAATTAATAAAAAAATATATGTAATATTCTGTTAATTTAGTTAAATTATAGGACTAGGATTATATCAAATTTTATTAAAGCAGATAATTTTTGAACATTGGCTAAAACAAATAACACAATAATATATACTTTAAACCTTCAAACCAGAATTTCTGTCTGAATTTTTCATTTGATTCCTTGGAAGATGAATCTCATGATTAAATTCTAATTTACATTTGAACTTAATCTATACAAAATTTAATACAACCAACATTTTAGTGCAGCAGCGTCGCTTTCTTTAGGGTCTCCTTTGATTCTATATAAAAATATGATATCTCATCTCTAATCACTTGTTGAATTATTATCAGCCATTTGAGAGTGTAAATATGAAGCATCATCGCGCAAATTTTTACTAATTTATCAGCTCTGACAGAACAAAAATGTACTCCATTAAAATAAAAATTTAAACAAGCGTTCAGCTGTAAAAAGATTCAATTTTTTTCATAACAAAAAACTTTCTATATAATTTGTGCTTTTCACCCTCTCGTCGTCGGCTTTCTTCACCTAAGCAACCTATAGTGCGAGTTGAAACAAAATCAGAGAGCTGGCCCCATTTTAACAACACCCCTTGTGTGTTATACGCGCGCGGTAATCAATCGTTGGAGCTCACGGCTCCGGCGCGGGCTTATCGTTCGTTATCCATTATCCACGTTACAATCGCAGAGTGGCGGGCGGGCAACGTTCACCGAGCAAACTACAATTTCGCTCATGTGGGGCTGCACTACCTTCCTGCCCCGTACCGTCCACCACAAAAAGGCTCATTTTTGGCATCAAAGCAGAATTTTGTTGTTCAAAAAATGCCTCACTTCCATTAATTTTTGATAATGTTATTAAATGATAAATAATTTATGTAAATTGTTGAAAGCGCCAATTGCCTTTGTAAGTTCTTACTCAAAGAGCACAAACAAGAAAATAATTGAAAAATTTGCAATTCAATTCTATCGTAGATGGAATTTTCATGAAATTAACTTGACGTAAAATTGTTTTCAGAAGAGGATCTTTGATGCCCACATTTTTGACTTAATTTGATTTGCAAACGTTAATATCAGTGGGTAGTGTAAAATTAAGTTTTGTTATTCCAATGAGAATGGGAGAAAATCAAATAGGAAAGTTAATACAATTTGTAATAAAATGAAAGACTGATAGTTAATTTGTCTAACTCATATAACTGATAAAATAGTAACATTCTTATTCCAAGGGTTTGGATAACTTTACAATAAGAGAATTTAATTTTAAGATGTGATAATTGAAGTCTGGATGAACTATGAAAATCTTTCAATTTCCAAAAAAAAAAAAATGCTTTAATTTTATTAATTTCTTAGAAATTAAAAAATTTATATATATTTTTAAATATATTAAATTTTTAAAATATTTGTAAATGCAATTTTACATCTATTCATGTTTGTTTCTGAGAATCAAAGGGTTGAAATTATAAAAAAATTACTTATATATGAAGTCAATATTCATACTCAAGTTAAAATATATTATTGAGACACCAAAATTTCCATCTGCAAGTCAAAAATTTATTAAAATAAAATCTCTTGTAGCCGTTGATAAGCCTGCGAGGACGGCGAACGTTATTCATTTGTGTCTAAGCCCTTAATTTAAGCGAACGTTGCCCTGAATTGATGTGAAAGTGCGCGGGGGTGCCGGTTGATTTTTCTATGTATTTTCGGTTCAAGGCAAAAGGGCGGCGGTGCGGTGGACGCGGTGCAGACGCTCGGGACACGGCGGCTCGGCACTGCACGCGCACTTGAGAATCCACTGGACCGCGAGGCGGACGACGGCCGTGCCGTTGGCGGCCGCCGCCACGGCCTCCGCCTCGGCCACCTCCTCGTCGGCGTCGTCCCACCGCCGGTGCTGCGTCTTGCGGTGCCACAGCTGGCCGCCGGCCGCCGCGGCCGCCTGCTCCAGCAGGCCGGCCTGAGTGGCCGCCGCCGCGGCCACGGGACACAGGAATTCGACCTGCTTGGTGGTGCTCAGTTGAGGCTCGCAACACGACGTGCGACACTCGCCGCAGAACTTGGGCCAGAACATCTTTCGGCTCCAACACGCGCCCACGCGCAGACGCACCGCACGGTGCACCTTCTGCGTTGCCTTGCACTCGTGACCTTTCTGTTGAAAACAAATTGAACAAAATTTTTAGAAACAACTCACAATTTGAGACCAAACAATTAAGTGAAAATCAAGCCATTTCTATTTATCCATTTTATAATATCGATATATCGTTAACAAGTCAGTATTTCGCAATACTTATTTATAATATTGAATCTATTAATGATGTGTTTGGGCAGAGAATATCCGGTGATAAACATGATTTGCAACTAAATTTAGTTTATTATTTTAAAAAAAAGAAATATTTAAGTCTTAAAGTCAAGTTTCAAAACATAATTTTACTTTTTTTGCATGAAATTTTAATATATTAAAATCAAATAAAATTTTTTTGAAATAATAATAAAAATAATGTTTTTTTTTTAATAAGTGAAATATCCGTAATTAAATAAATTTTTCTCAGATCCCTATGAAATTTGTTTATATTCAACCATATTAAAAATAAACATATATTAAAACTGATAGCATGTTGATTGCAGTGAAATTCCAATGATTAAACTCAACTTAAAAGTGATTGGTAAGGCGTTCCAGAATTTCTATTATGTTATAATATTAGAACAATCGGATTAATCAAACGAATCATAAAATACATAACTGATAAATGAGAGTTATTATAATACATATCTTTTCAAATAGATGCACGTGCAAATTAATCTTTAAAATATGACTATACTATATTATGCATTTATTTTTAATGTTGAAAGGAGTTTTATAATTCAGCGAGCCGTTCTTACTAAAAAATGCATTTCTCGGGACGGATTTTTCCAGAGTTTATTTAATGACTAGTGATTACTTAAATTCAATGAGATAAAATTAGGAAATTGAATTATATTAAAATTACAATTGGTCAATATTTTATGACTGTATTCGTAAATTATTTAATATGTAAAATTCAGAAAAATTACACTTCATAATCTTTTTGAAACTTGTAACGCATCAACTGTCAAAACAGATGGAGACCGCAAAAACTTCCATACTGAACACTAAGAAATCCAAATTTTGATAGAATGTAGCAATTTGCGATGTAATGATCAATGTAGTCTCTTATTTTCATCAAAGACAAATATACAAGTGCCAAAAGCAGTATTTGTGGAAATAGGGGCAAAAAAATAGTTTAGAGCGGCGCAGCTTTATTAGGGGCCGCGCACGTTTCGCTTTTCACATTCGTCTTTTTGGGCATTGCTGATGATAATGCATGCACGTCATGCCGCGAGAAATTGCCTTATTTGCGTGTGTGGTGGATTTATTTGCTGCGCGGCTCGCGGAGACTCGTAAACGAACGAGAGCCCTGTTTACGTAAACAAGAGGCTCGTTCCAAATGGGGCGATGCAAATAACCAGCTTGAGTCAATTTTCTCCACTTTTCCGTCCCTGCTCATTTCGACGAAAGCACGAATTTATATTATGTGAGATTATCGACATTGAACAGTGTGATTGATAAAATTTTGAACAAAAAATGACGAAACATTTTGTTTCATTTTATATTTTCGTTGTTTGTAGAATAATAACTTCAAATGATTTGTTGAAAGATAAATTAAAATGCAATTTTACTGGTTAACATTTTAGCATTAACTAGAGAAAAACAATTTAAATTGGAGATATTTTTGCTCATAATTGTTTTGCATTAAAAAAGAGACAGAAAAAGTAATCGAGGAAACATGCGTTTTGATACTTTTCAACTTTGGAAATTTTTCGTAAATAACAATTTAATTTAATTTAGCTTTATTCATCCTTTACGCCGGCCGGTGCGAGTTAATAAACCCCCTCGGATTCCTTCCCTTTGCGAATAGGCAACTCATAAACAACTAATCGTGTTAATTAATTAAATTACCCGTATTTTGTGTCCGTGCTGTCCCGCCTCCACTTCATTATCCTCAGCTTCACAAGCTCTGACCTGACAAAGACGACCTTCCGCCTCGGGAACGCAACGTGGGTTCTCGTTCGAAACCCTTCTGGACACGCCGAGGCCGCAGTCGAGCGCCGAACACTCGCTCCAGGCGCTCGATTGGTGCTCGCATTCAGGCGGACGCTGGGCTGAAATCACAACCAAGATCATTCAAATAATTATGTATTCATCAATTTTGTAAACGTTTGGTTAAATACAACGGAAAAGTTAAAACAAATAAGATCTTCTCTTGTTTCAATTATATTGAAAAGAGAAGCACAATACCGTTTTTTTTTTTAATTAGAACTTTTTTGAATTTTCACTGACATTAAAAAACCTAATTTAAAATTGTAAAATTTAGGATCCCTTTGCGCAATATTTATATTGTAACTTCAAAAAGCTTCAATTCTGGATGCATCCAAAAATTATCATTGCAAAATATAAAATTACTTTGTCAAGCAAAAATTTATCAAAAAACTTAATCGATTTTTAGATATATTGACACATTTAAATGATTTCGACAAATCTTTTAATTTTGGTGCAGATTTTTACAAATTTATATTTTATTGTGGCAACTTCATTGTGCAATTTAAACGATTCAATAATATTATATTATTTTTGGCTAATCTCATCTAATTTTCCAATCCCTAACAAAATTTCATTATATTTCCAATACTAATTAAATATTTTGCTTAACAGAAGAGCGTTGGAATTAATTTATATCTCAAGTCATAATTGAACCAAATCAACTTTCAATGGAAGAATTATTTATTTCTCAGACGTTATTGGATTGAGCCAGAGTGTGAATCGAGCGTTGATTAAAGCGGATTTCGCAGCGATGGTTTGATATTCTGCACGTGATCTGCAGCGTGGAAATTATTATGGAAGACAGAGGAGTAAACAACTTCCAGGCAGACGAATATACGAGGGGGCGACACACGTGCTTCTGCTCCATTTGAGTTGCACGCCCGAGGCGTAATCAGCTTACAAATTTGCACACATGCATAAACCCATTAGGCGCAAACATCGTCAATTATGTAGCAAAGGTATGTCGCTGCACATCCGCAGAATATCGCTGCGGCTGATTGCAGAATTACTCACTGACGACGGCATTCGCACCTCCCGTGTTTGCACAGCATCCGTGAATCAACATCTGCATTGCAAATGGCACACATATGTGCGATTCAAATTAAACGTCCGGCACTGCATTTGCAGCGGTTTATATTCCTCGATGCACATTTGTATCAATTGGATTTTGCTATTAATTTATTAGAGTTCATCAATATCAATCTGCTCTTTTCAATCAGCATTTTGCATAATATTACTTTTGCAGCAGCAATATTACACTTCGGTTTTATTTAATAATTGCTAATATATAGATTTGCTTCACTTGAATAGCAAATATTTTTTTGGAATTTCATTTTATCTTAATTAACAGCAAGATGAATCTACGAATTTAAAATGAATCTTAATAAACATTTGAAACACTAGCAGCGAGAGACTTTATTTAAATTTGTTTTTTGGTGAATGAATCTAAATAATTAATAGGTAACAGCAGATTAATTTATTTAATAACATTTTATGGTGTTTTTTTTTTAATGCTAAAACATTTTTTATTTTGGGCAAAACTATGGTTACAATGTATGTAAAAAAAATAAATTATTTAACTTAAAAAATTTAGTTTAAAATCTTTAATTTTAAATAAACTATAATATAAACTTTTTTAAGAAATCAATATTTTATATTTACTAGTTAAAATATGTTAAAACAAAAAAAATAATTTATTTTGTTCACTACTTTGTTAACCATTTGCGATTAATTCCTCTGAAGGTTGAGTCCCATTTAATTTACAGATCCGATTTAATAAGTTGTAGAGCAAAATGTCTCTGAGAGAATAATCCAGATCGAGAGGTAATTAATAAATTAATGAGCAAAACAAGTGCGGTGAGCCGCTCGTTTCTGCAGCTTCGGTTTCTATGAATGACGTGAATTTTTAACAACATTCTCTCCAATGTTTTGGAGCTCAGCACTCACACGCGAACGAATTCATCCACCGCCTTTTTTTTGGGTTCGCAGGCAGCGTGTTTTTCACACTTGAATTGCTAAAAGTGTCTCATTTCACGACGCACTGCGAAATGGATTCCGTCGCGAGCACTCGCATGCTCATCCTTTCAGTATCCAAATTGTTTTTTACACAAACCACCGATGTGTGAATTAAAGAACGTGCATGGGTCCTTTCAAGCTGCTTAACCACACAAAAAATCGGCGCGAAAAAAAAATTCAAAAATGCATCAGTCGCTTTATAGTATTAAAAATTAAAGCTTTTTTATAAAAAAAAAAAGTAGTCGATCTATGTAAAAATTAATTTCCTGCTTAGTATCTTAATCAAAATAGAATAAATAAACTTATTTAATCCATTAGTGAAATTTTAAGAACAAATTGATTCTTTTCCAACGAACATATTATATAGGATTTAATATTTTTATAATTTTTTTTTTTTTAATTATGATGAAAACCTAAAAATGAATATATATAGATTTGGGATGGACGTTGTCATGTAGGTACAATTCTCTCGGCCCTGAAAGAATTTTCCCCCAATTTTTTTTTTAACTTTACCTTCAATAATTGCCTGAAATTAAGTTATGTTAAAAAAATTAACCATGATGCTATTTTTTTTACCCATAAACACGCGTTTTTCTCTCGCCCGTTTGAGCCAACTTTTGCGCCGTGTGTTGAGTGAAAGGCTTTGTTCCGCGTGGCTGTTCTTAATTAACTTTTTTATTGCGTGCGGCGCGGCGGAAATTATTTTATGGCTGCGGACTTCTCGCTTAATTTGGGGCCCGTGTCGGTTTTTTGGTGCGGCACCGCATCGTCTAAACTAAATGCACACGTACCTTCGACACTGTCGCACATCCACTCGCGGCAACACTGACCCGGCACCTCCACCAGCCGAGGGTGGTTGCAATCGGGCGAAAGGGCCTCCTGAGGACACAGCGACGAACACGCGTACGTCCCGTTCTGCAAGATTAACAAAAGAAATTGGACATAAGAATTTTTTTAATTAATTATTCACTTTTCAAAGAGACTATTATCAGAAATTAAAATCGCAGAAGATGAAAACTTTTTAGTTCATAAATTTGAGAGCAGTGAGCAGATTGTTTGCTGCTGAAAAGTAATATCAATTGAATATATTCTAAGATTTTACTTTATCGTTGGTAATTTTTATTTAAAAAAAAAATAAGCATAATAATAAAGAGGACTGGAAGGCTATAAGAAACTCAATTTCTTGAGCTCCATTATTAATGTTATGGAAACGACTTTAGATTTATATATTTCTCTAAGTTACATACAATTATAAATTTGATTTTTAAACAAAAACAGTATTTAGAATACCATTTGAAATAAGCTTTATTGAAAAAAATAACTTTTAAATTAAAAATATAATATATTTAATTAAAAATACATAAAGATTAATAAATTTCTATGAAAATAAAAAGAAAACATTTATTTTTATTATTAATAAAAAAAGTTTTTAGTTAACTTTTATTAATAATATAATAAATAAAGTTTAAGTTAGGTTTAAGATTGGTAAATTTACAACTTAAAAAAAATGTAGGTTTTAGTTAAACTCCTGCATTTCCAAACATATACAAAACTAAAAAAAAAGGAGAAAAATTGATGATACCTTTTAAATAGAAATTCAAACTGTAAAAGTTTTGAATATCCACTAACATGTAAATCAGAACTCTGAGAAGATTATTATTTTAATCAGGTTCCTTAGAATAACACGTGTATTTTAAAATAAATGCAGAGGTTGTTACCCAAGAAGGTGGGGGCTCGAATTAAATTAATCTGAATTCATAAGTAAAACGTGATATCAGTTAATTTTGATCAAACATCAGAAACACACCAATTTCCTATAAAACTATTTCAATCAATAAAACAATGCAACATTTTCCTTAATCCTCTTTAAGAAAGGAAACAATATAGATTTTGTCATTTTTATCTTGTTTCCTTCTTCAGCGTGATTCAAAAGGTTCAAATTAGCACCTTCAACCCAGAATAAATGAAACTCATTTACTTGGGGGCGGCGAGAAATCGGAAATGAGCTCGCATTTGTTTGCCTTGGCTTTTTCTATATAGTTATTTCCTGTTTCACCTTGCGAGAGAAGAATTCCAGTTTCATCTAGATTGCAACATTTCCCAAAGGATCAATACAAAGCTAGCAAAAAATTTTCTCTCTCACAAAGGCGCGCAAAAAGAGAGGAAGATTTAATCTCTGAAAGTCAAATGTCCAGCCGGCTGGTCGCTGGTCTCTGCCGTCGTGGAAATTCTGCGAGAAATATTTATGGATAATCAATAGCTCGATATACCTTTAAAAAAGCTTGGGCAAAAAGCGAGCAGGGCACAGGCGTTTTGCTGAGTGGCCAAATCGCAATAAAACGCTTTAAGTGCTAGATTTAATGATGGCAGCTTCCGGAAAATTGATTTATTTGAAATGGGGTTGAGCACGCGAGATTTAAAGAGGCCATTTCTCGACCAAATGTAAAAATCGATTCGGAGTCAAAAGTAGTAGAACTTTGGTTCATATTTAGACTGGCGTTAAAAAAGTCTCTTTAAAAATGAAGGAGAATTTACAACAAATTTAACTTGCAATTTTCGTTCAAGGTTCTTTGCATTTCAATGGCAGCTTTCTTAGAAAGTAATCTTGCAAATTTCAAATAAAACATCAAATTGAATAAAATTGCAAAAATAAATTTGATTCTAATAAAACACTTTTTACTGTTATAGATTTTTTTCCTGGTCATTTCAAATAGTCTATATTAAAAATTAACATTTGCATTGTTTTCTCTTAAAAGAATCTTTTTGAAAATTTGACTATTTTCAAACGCGAATCTCCTCCAGAATTTCAAATTGACAATGACACGCACACACCGTTGGAATTAGGGTCTATTTTCAATACCAGAGACCGAAAACAACAATCGAAAAAATTTCTCATTGTTGTGACGCGCGAACCTACATCAGCCCGTCACCTCTTAAATACCGTCCGTTTTAGCTCTGATTGTTGAGGATGGCGGTAGCTCAGTTGGGTAGAGAACCCGCACCTATGGAAGTTAGAGCATAGTGTGAGGTCAGCTTGAGACCCCAGTGCCCATCAGTCACTAGACCCCAGGGCCCGGAATCAGGCCGGGTTCAAAACCCAACTGGGCCATCCTTTTTCACATCTTTTTTTACGTTCTTTGCACTTCAATGGTTCATTTCTTCGTAAAAAATCTTGCAAAATTCAGTTAAAACATATCAAATTAAATAAAATTTCAAAGATAAACTTGATATTAACAAAACTTTTATTCTTTGTGCCCACTTTTTTCTATTATTGAATTTTATTTTTCCTGCTGGTCATTTTTAAAAGTCTGCGTTAAAAATTAGCATTTGCATTGTAAGAATCTTTATAAATTTTTTTTTTCAAGCAAATTTCCTCCGGAATTTCAAAGTGAAATTGACATGCACACATCGTTGGAATTATGGTCTATTTTCAATACCAGAGACCTAAAACAACAATCGAAAAAAATTTCTCATTGTTGTGACGCGCAAACCTACATCGGCCAGTCACCCCTTAAATACCGTCCGTTTTCACTCTGATTGCTAGGATGGCTGTTGGGTGGAGAACCCAAGCTCACACAACAGTGGGACATTCGATAGAGGGAAGGAGACCTCGGAGCCCCGACCTGGGCCGGGACACGGCTGGGTTCAAAACCCAACCCGGCCATCCTTTTTCAAATCTTTTTTTACGTTCTTTGCATTTCAATGGCACATTTCTTCGTAAAAAATCTTGCAAAATTCTGTTATATAAAATTAATTAAAATTGCAAAAATAAATTAGAAATAAACAAAACTTTTATTCTTTGTGCCCACTTTTTCTATAATTGATTTTAATTTTTCATGATAATCTCAAAAATCTAGGTAAAAAAATTAACATTTGCATTGTTTATTACAAGAATTTTTTGAAAATTTTTTCAAACACGCATTTTCTACAGAATTTCAAATTCACAATGACATGCACGCGGGTCTATTTTCAATACCAGAGAGCCGAAACAACAATTGAAAAAAGTTCTCATTGTTGTGTCGCGCGAACCTACATTGGCCCGTCACCTCTTATATACCGTCCGTTTTTTCTCTGATTGCTAGGATGGCTGTTGGGGGAGAACCCGAGCACACACTTCGGAGACCATCCAGAGGGACTATCGATAGAGGGAGGGAGACCTTGGAGCCAGGACCTGAGCCAGGAGCAGGCTGGGAGCAGGCCGGGTTCAAACCCCAACTCGGCCATCCTTTTTCACATCTTTTTTTACGTTCTTTGCATTTCAAAGGCACATTGCTTTGTAAAAAATCTTGCAAAATTCAAATGAAACATATAAAATTAAATAAAATTGCAAAAATATATTTGTCCTTAATTACACTTTTTTCTGCTATTGATTTTTATTTTTCCTGATCATTTCAAAAAGTCTACATAAAAAATTAACATTTCCATTGTTTCTTAATAGAATCTTTAAGATAATTCTTTCAAATGCGAGTTTCCTCCAGAATTTTTCACTGATTGTTTAGGGTGAGTTTTAGCTCAGTTGGCTAGAAAACCCAACACATGCTAAGGAGACCATACCGAGCCAGGACCGGCCTGGGATAAATATTCGCAGTTCAATAATTTCAACGCCATTTGAACTAATTTTCAAATAATCAAAATTTAATTTTTATTTAAAACACAACAAAAAAATTTATCGCCACTAAAAATTATCGTTACCAGTAATTTCAAAACAATAATTAGTGAAAAATTGCTGTTTTCATTACTCAATTATTCTTAAAATATTAAATAATTAAACGCTTCATACAATAAAAAAAATGATTTTGTACCAGGTGGGAAATTTAACAAGTGCTTGTTCCGCTCATTTGTGATTATTATAATAAATAATAACTCTCGCGCTCGCAATCTGATCCGATCGTGGCTGAGAAAAGGCCCCGTTTAATTAAAACAGCAATGATATAACTAAGCGAGAACTTAATGGGATTCTCTTTTCAGGCGGCGCGCACAAAGGAGGCTGCAGAGCACCGAGAGCTCTATCTCAATTTTTATTATCCGCCGGTATTAAGCCAATGTTCAGTGCAGGAGGAGAACCAGCCCGTCGTTTTATTCAGCCGCAGACTAAAATCCGCTTTTTATGCCCGGGGCAGTGCAGAAATATACAGAAAAAGCTTTATCCACTTCGGATTACTTTTCGCTTTGAAAATGTAAGAATGTGAAAAAATATTGTGGCTAATTTTTCAATTTTTAAACAGAATTTTGTGATCTCTTCATATCAATTTTTAAACTATTCAGAAAGCTAAAAAAAAAACTATTTTATCGCTCAATTGCAAAAAGTTGGTTGTGCTGTTTGCTAATGTATTTATCGTATTTATTATATCCACGTAAACGCAATTGAAAATTATTATTTTATTACTCAATCAAAAAATTCTGAAACATCTATCAAAATTATATTCCTTGATACTAGTCTAATTGCGTTAAATTTTGAGTAAGAGGACTAGCTTTTAAAAAGGAATTCATACTGAAGGAATTTTTGCCAATTATAATTTACCTTTTTATTCTTCTATATTCCATTGGAATCATTAGCAAGAAAATGAACTATTTATTTGAAAATAATTACTCTACCTCACCGGAATCGGCACATATTAAATGTTAAAATTTTTCATACTACAATAATAGTGAATTATTAAATAATAAAATTTTTTACTATAAAAGCAGCGTAATAAAACTTGCTCCGTGATTTCCTTTTCATAATTCGTATTTTAATTAATAATATTTTAAAATATATACAATAATATTTTAAAATTGTATAAAAAATTAAATAATAAATTCAATTCTTTAATAAATATTAAACGTTATTATTTACTTTTTCTTTTTTACACTGCCTGCCTTTTTATTCAGTGCTTGCGTGTGTGGCAGACAAAGGGAAATGATGCAGCCCGCCGAGCAGGTCTGTTCTTTTGCCCGCTGGCAACCGTGGATTCCGCTCGCAGTGCAACGTGTGTAATAAATTTTTGCATTTTCCCGTCTGTGTGCTGCCCCGGTTTTGTGTGTTATCCTTTCTGGCTTTTCTCAAAAACAACACTCGCATGACTTTGCACAAATGACTGCTTTCGTGCCATTTGACACTGGAAATCGCCCGGCGTAATTAATTAAAAGGCGCGCGCACTCACCTGGCAGGAACACTGCGTCCTGCAGTCCAGCATGAACGTTTCGCCGTTGTCAAAAGTTTTGTTGTCCACGCTGCACGGCAGCCCTTTGATCACTGGAACACACGCAAAGGCACAATTATTGTTACAGCCATTAAAGTTCCTATATATGGAATGTAAATAATTTGTTTGTTTAGTTAGTTGGTTCGTTGCTTGTTTGGCTGACGAGAGCTGATAACAAAAACAAAACGCAGTTAGTTATAAGCAATGACGAAAATGTAATTATAATGGGTCTACAGATGATATTGAACAATATTTACAAAACTCTTTCCTTGAAAAAATGAAATTAATTTTTGATCCTTCGTAATTGTAAATAAAGACAAATTGAAATTGAAAAGTAGCGAAAATTTTGTATGAATAATGCATAGTTTAAATTCAAAATAGAATTGAACAACAAATATGCATTTAAATTTAAATTTAAGGGATTAAAACGGGGAATAATATTAAGTGTTAAAGTAACAAAATAACATTTATATCTCCATAAAATATATAATAAATTCTGCTAGATTTCTGAAATTAGTGAAATTTAATTTTTCAATATTTTCACAATGCACGTCAATGACGTCTATCCAAACACAGTGCACGACTATCTTAAGTAAATCAATTAATTATTTATTTATTTATTTATTAAACCCATCTGGGTACAACTTTTGATTCACTCATACAGATATAAGTTTCAAGTAATTAAATTGCACTATTTCTTCTTCATCGTGGCGTAAAAGTTTATTGAGTGGTCTCTTCTTGCAGAACTCAAGGTGGTATTGGGTGCATTTTTCATCACATAGCTCGCACACACAGTCCGCGTCAGCAGTGGAGTGAAAACTTTTGTCTTTACAAATTAGATAATGAAACCCAGTCATTGCATATCGAGTAAAAGCGTGTCTATTTTTGAAAAGGGGTTGCTTCCAGCAGTCATTTATCATAGCTGGCGTTTCAAAGAAGTTTAAATCAAATTCCCTTTCAGCTCTAATTTCAATATTAATTAAAAACTCTTCGTATGCCGGAGTGGGGGGTAAGCTGTATTTGTTCATGGTGCTTGTGACAAAAAATTCTTCGGCGGCAATTAAATGGTAGATTAACGTGTTTCTGCAGTATTTTCCTGTTCCTAGTACTTTTTTATAAAAAGTTGTCATTAATTTCTCCAAAATAAAAAAGTCGCAAGACTTTAGGTGTGGCCAAATGGCTTCAATGCCATACGTAGCTATCGGGGCAAATTTTAATGCAAATAGACGGCGCAGATTAAAACTAAAAAAGGGTGCTATTATTTTTTGAATTTACATTTATATCTCCATAAGAAATAAAATCAATTCTGCTAGATGTCTGAAATTAATGAAATTAATTTTTCAATATTTTCAAATTGCACATCAATGACGTGTAATCAAACACAGTGCACGACCCTCTGAAACACCCATTTTTCAATTAATTTGTTTGGTGGTTGAGATTTTAAAATTGAAATAACTCTACAATTTAATTAATAATTTTTAGTTATTACTTAATCCTAAATAATATTTTTTATCCTTTGACTATATAAGATTTTCCTCTGTAAATACCAAATGAGCATTTTTTTATGTAAAGAACGCTGATTCAAGTACTATTGTAAAAAAAATCAATTTGTAAACTCTCGCTTGTTGTATAATTTTAATTAAAGAAAGAGGACGGAAAAAATTATGTTGAAACCCAAATCTCTTTGTTATTCTGGGTTGTTTGTTGTGGAAAAACAGGCACATTTATTAAGAGCTGAATTAAAGCTGACAACTGCAGAGTCGGAGGAAAGAAGAATTGAATCGGTATTCATGGGGTGGCTTTTTGTGCGTCGGCCAGCGGCTCTTGCCGTCCGTCTCTTGGGAAATCTGACGGTTTTAGCGGAGAGAGTTTTCAAGCTTGACTAAGTACCAATGACTGAGTGCGAATGTAAGGCGCAGCGAGCGACCACTTGACCATCTCGCCAAGAGATGATATCAACTTTCTGCTCGGCGGCGTCTAATCCCCGGAGGGAGGCGTCTTTTCGGCGAAACCAGAGACCGAAGTTCCGAGCCGCACTCGGACATGCAAATTACCAGCACTAGACACGAGAGCCGCCTCGTAACGATCCAGAGCAAGACTCTAACTAAGCGTGTAAACACACCTGAGCACAAATGGAACCGCAGTTTCTTCTTCTTACTGTCGGCTCGAAGCGAAGAATTCACTTTATCTCCTTTCAAATGCAATTCTCCGAAATAAGGTCGAAATTAATCTATGGAATTTAATGTAATTGTTCCCACAATAGTAACATATAATTTTAATAAGTATCCCAGATTAAAATAATGCCTTAAATCTCATTCAATATTTAAAAATTTATGCTAAATCACACCAAATTCACTGTTTACAATTTAAATTATTTTAAGACGCACTGATTTTCATAAAAGTAGACACCATAGCTTATTATACCTATAATTTGGATGAATTATTAAGAGTATTTAAAATATTATTTGAGAATCTTTTATTGTTGAAAATGAATCTAGTTCCAAATATTTGTCTAACAACCATAATGTTGTTGAAAATCGAAATTAAAGGGAAAAAGACTTAAGTTTCGTATAATTCAAAACATCCCTTCGAATCCTCGCATAAAAAAAAACATCAGATTAAGTGATGCGACAATATTATCCAATCCAGCATGAATAAAAATATTAAGCGAATTGGACAATTTTCCTTTAATGTTCAAAAGGGAATTTTTCCTTTGAGAAAAATCATTCTGAAATTATTGGCCGTCTCTTCTGTTTTTATACAAACATAAAACATAAAAAAACACTGATTTCATGTATATTATTATTATTATTTATTATCATTCATTTTTATTTATTACTCTTCTTCGCTCCTGAAATGAATAAAAGTAGAAAAAAATTTAATTGGAAACTAGTTTGAATAAAAAATTGCTTTTCTCAACAACTTTTCTTTACAGGAAATTGGAGCAGGACTTTATTTATCTTGTGTAAATTTATTGCTTTGCTTGAAGAGTCTTCAAAGAAAGGTGCCCTATTATGAATAAATTTAAATATCACGTTCATTGTAAAAGGAAATTGACGCAAAATTGCAAAAACTTCATATTTCTCTCGTTAGCTTTGCCACGTTTCAAATTAATTAGCAACTTTCATTTGCATCGGTGGTTATTATTTTCTCTCGCGAGAGTGATTCGCCCCAGTTTCGCAAAGACGGCTGGGTCATTTCAACCGCACTAATTACATCCCGTGCTGCATGAAGTTTAATTTAAACAATTACACCGCACTCCAGACTGAGTCGGCGAATTACTGTGTTAATTACACAGCATTTAAGGTTCCCCCGCTTGCCGTCTGAATAATGCAGCTGGCTAATGGAAGCCCAGTTTTGTCTCAAGTTTGGCCAAAAACTCAATTATCTCACTCTCAAGTCGCACTGCATTGTTTTCGGCTAATTTCCTTCAAGGAAAATGTGTCTTGCGGGTTTCAGAAATGCTGCAGACTTTCCATTAACTTCCATCTGCTTATCTTGCTAAAATATTTGTTCAAAATTAGTTAATTTGTAATAATACTTTAAGAAATTATTTTCTGTTTAAATATAAAGCCGGAAAATATGAATTTCTAAGGTATTTTGATCCACCATAATGTTTAAAAAGTGTTATAAAATATTGAAATACATTACGTATTACCTAAAAATAAATTAAAATTGTTTACTGTCAAGAAAAATATATGTAAAATTGTTAAAATAAGCTTCTAATGAGATAAATTTTTAAGTAGGAGATTTTTTTATCAATTAGATGATTCAAAGTAAATCTAGAACCCAGATTTTTTCTATCTCTGCAATAATCATAATTTAACTGTCTTTTTTTAATTTTATATTTAACGTGAGAGGTGAAAGTCGCAATTGAAGTTAGACAACCGTGCACGACAGCACTGCTCGGCACGTTGCATACTTGAAAAATCGCAGGCGCTCGGTGATCTCGATTTAAATTCACTGCACGTTATTTGGTAAAAGAATCACGAATTCACTTCTAAAGATGATTTTTTTTTTTTTTGCTTTTAAAATAGTTTCAATCGGCGCCTCATCTCGGGGGCCAGGATAAGGTTAGCGATGCACACGGCATGTCAAAGGCCATAAAACGGCGAATCGAATGGCACGCTCGGCGGCTGTTACAATTTTATTCGCCACAATAAAAGTGGCAGGAAAATACTCGCTGCAGCAACGGTGGCGCCGCGCGAACTGATTTGAGGTCGTAAGTTAAAAAGGCCGAGTGTGATGGCGAAATAAAAAGGATGCTGGCGAGATACATCTACCCAGAGCGGCAGCCGCGCCGCGCGTAAAAATAGAATCTAATGTGCGTGATTCGCGAGGGCGAATCGCATCTCCAGTATCTCTACGTCATAACGCCTTTATATAAAATGTAGTGCCGCTTGCCATTTTTTGTACCAAGGCAAAATAAACCACGTCCAAAAAGATCTGTAAAAAATAATAGTTTATTATGTAATTTAAAAGTTTTTATAATAAAATATTTTTTATTTAGTACAATAAATTAGATGTATAATTTTAATTTAATAAAATAATTATAAAATTTAACAAAATAATTCAATCAAAATTTAAATAATATTTTGAGAACAGTCTTTTACCATTAAAAGAAGCTCTAGTGCAAACACTAAATTTTTAATAATATTTTTTTTTTTATAAATTATATCTTCCAAAAGAAAATTAATTTTTTGTAAATGTAAACATTATTATGTAGTGAATGTATTTCTTTCAGGGAGCTCTCAAACTTATCAGAGTTTAACGTGCATGTAATTATTTCGAAAAATTGAAATTCATCAAAATTTTCATATAAAATCATTTGATCCAGTGTTTTGGAAGCTTGTTAAGAGATATTATTATTATTTATTCTACTCACGTCGCACAAAAAAAATTGAAAAATGAGCAGAAAGGGTTTCACTACTAGATAGTTTGAGAAAATTTAAAATTAAAATTATGTAAAATTTAAGTTTAAATTAATTTTATTATTATTTACTTTGAATATTTAGCTACTCAATCATAAAAATAATTCATTTTTCAGACTTGCAATTTTCAGCTGCTCTACTTCAACTCACAGTCGCAGCCAGCTTTAAAAATTAACAGTTCCCGCTTTCCCATATATCGTGTTTTCAGTCCTTTTATGCGCTGCTAACACGAGTCGCTGTATAAACAGAGGCGAAAAATCCATTTACCAAGCGTCTCGCAGCGGAAATCTTACCTACGTCTGTATACTTATACGTGCAGAGGCGGTAGCCTCCACATACACACCCGAGGATAAATAAAAAGAGTCAACAACAGTAGCAGAGCGCGCGGAGAAATTCATTTTACGGCAGAGGCGCGCGGAAATAAACTACGTCTATATGTACTCTTTTTCTCTCTTTTCCGAGGAGAAAGAGAGAGAGAAAGAAACTGCCTTTTCATACATACATGAGCTGGAAATGAAACGAGCCTGCTGATGACAGTGGAACAGTTTTGCATTGCAATGAATTCTGCTTACATGAAGCTGAATGATATTTAAAGTGCTTTTTACATTCTCGTTTTGAAAAAATAAATTGGTTAAGGTGAATTTTGTATAATTATAATAATAAGTTTACAAAACAATTTGTAACTTTTATTAAAAAAATAGCCAGGAATTCATATTTGCACCATCATAAATTATAATGTTCTAGATTAATTTATAAGAGCAACTCTCTTTATTAGAAAAACATTTTATTTTGACGATTGAAGAAAAATTTCAATTATTCCTTTCAAGATAAAACACTTCCCGAAATATTTTTCGCATAATATTATATTTCCGTTTTATTTTAAACTTGACTAGAAAATTGTTATAAAAACGGGCAGCTGAAAACAGCTGACTAGATGAAAAGTACGTCCGCCTTCATTTCTGAGAATGCTCAAGTTGCTGTGTAGCATCCCTGCTTTCAATGTAGCATTCAATGCAAAGTACTTGTCTCGCCTGCAGCATTTGCAAGTCAATCTCGAGTAAATCCTGCCTACATCGTCGCTTATCGTTTTCCCTTCTCTGGTCTGCACTGCATAGAATTATAAATAAAATGCACCTGCTTGAAGAGTGCATTCGACAAATCTGCATGTTATGTCACCATTAAAGACTTATTCAAATTTAAAAGAAGCAGCGCCTAGCAAGGTAGCGATACGCATGCATAAGCAATGAAAAGGCTGCAAGTGTGTCGCATGAGTTTAACTGTTAAAGGCGTGGAAACTATTTCAATTACACGTCATTACACTAATGAGTCAACCAGTGTTGACTTTTCATTTGAGAGGTTGATATATTCATATAAACTTCCTTCATTGGAAAACGGGAAGGTTTATGGCAAATAATTATGCTTTAAAAAAAAATGATACTATTTCAAATGGTGCTAGAAGTGAAATAAAATGTAAAACCGCGAAAAAAATTGTTAAATAAAGCTGCATCCTTGAAAATATTAAAAAATTTATTTTTAGTCACTAATTGTAAGTATAAAGTGAAATTTCGTTTGGAATTGAAGATGAATCGGTGAGGACAAACCCCTGATTTTGTACAGACATACTTCTGTGCAGTTCAAGCTGGTCTCTAAATAATGACGAATTCAATTAATTTATAGATGGTCACAATATAATTACATGTCAAACAAATTATTTTTAACAAACATTCTATCTTTAGGTATTATCTGTAATTCAACCTTATTTATAAGATTTAAATTTATTGTTTAATTTTTAGCAATGCGCAATGCGAAGTATTAAAAAACAGCGTTAAAAATGAAAAATCAATATAAATGCTTATTAAATTTTTAAAAATGTTATCAATGGTAAGAAATAAAATAAATATTAATTAATTTTTAATAATGAGAGGAAATAATATAATATGATCAAATTTTTTTGTATTGTTATTCAGTGTTAATTAAGATTAATTAAAAAAAAATTGTCTTACCTTGACATGCACCATGGTGAGCTTCAGACGAGGGATATTGGCAAACGAGACCGCGTCTCTCGTCACAAAGGGCCGTGCCATCGCAAGTTTCGTCCACTTGCCGGGCACAAACAGCGCAACAACCGCACCCGTCCCTGATCAAAGACACGCCTTGCGGACAGGTTGGAGTTTCGTCGGGACATTCGCAAGGGTAGCTGCAGTGCGAGCGCACCTGAAATCAGAAATTCACCGAGAGATCAATTTTGGAACTGTGATTGATGTGACAAATGACAAAATTCACTCATCGCGACGTTTTGATGGATTGCGTTGTCATAACAGCGATTTTCTAGTCGCGGGGTGAAAAGATAATTAGAAGAGACTTGTCGGGGAAAAGTTTTCGGTCGAATTAAAACGAGATTGGCAAACTTGGAATTCAATGAGACGCGTTAAAAAAGTTCTCAGCCACTTGGTGCGAATACGTAAGGCGATGGAAATTAAAAATGGGGAAAATTTGCTTGTGCAGGGAATTAAAATTAGCCCTCGGCCGTGATGCCGGCCAGGAGAAGGAAGAAGGGGAACGTTCTCCGCACACTCTTTGGCTGCAACAACTTTTTAAAAGCTCTTAACGTTGTTACAGCTCCTTATCCGGCAAGAGAGGAAAGTGAGTTTTTTATTCCGTCTCTCTGCATTTCTCAGTCGAGATATGAAATTCGGCCAAGTTTCTGAGTGCGAAATCGTGTGGAACGCGCTCACAACCTATATTATACAGGTGAGCGCCAAGTTATGTATTCGTGGAAGACGCAAAAACTGCAAGAAAGACAAAGGAAAATGTTAAATGAGGATGAAAATTTTCGAGTAAAATCAAATAAAGGTAAAAAAATTGCTTAAAAGAAATATGAAGCAAAAGAATGAGCATAAAAATGATCACGTCATTCAAAGAAAACAATTAAGACTGAAATTTACAGGTTTCTTATTGATGATTCGTAACTTTTATTTAAATTTTTTTTATCTAATGACCCTTCTGTTAACTAGATTGTTAAAATTTTAATGATGCTAATTTATTGAAACATTTAGTTAAAAATTAATAATATATTTTTGTAAATTGTTCGTAGTATGGCAAATAAGCAAGGAAATGATCAATACCCAGACCTTTATTTCACTACAAAAAAAAAAAATATTTTATTTTAATATTCAATTCAAATTTAAGTTAACAGAGAGTTTACTAAGCTGTTATATTTGCCTCCAAACGGCTGTGATTAATTTACATCTCTAAATTCAGCTTTATGGGTTGCCTAAGTCATATTTATTGTGTTTCAAAGAAGAAAACAATAATTGCCCGCTTGTATTTCTGATTAATGTCTTGAGACAAATACATCAGTCAGTACCAGGCACTCAATCAATTTGCTTTAAATTTTATTTTCAAATAATTTTCTTCTCTGTCATATTCACTTTGAGAAATTCCTTTGAAATTGAATAGCGTTTTTGAAAAGAATTTAACGCAGAACGTTGTAAAATAAAATATTCTTCTCTATTTAATTCAGGGGGAAAACAAACCTTTCCTAGAAGCAGTGCAACCGGGTACGACCTAATTAAAAGAAGCGGTAAAAAGTCGAGTGCATCCCTTTTCACCGCCGCGCTAATTTGCACCGTGTGCCGAGCATAATCATAATAAACTTTGAATTCAATAAAGTCAAACATCAATTAGGACGTTCTGCATACAAGTTTCGCAATTAACCAGTGTTTTCCCGGCAGCCAATTTGCATTTGGCAAACTTCTCCATCTCGCAAGCAAACTTGCAAATTGCATATTAACGGTCGCGTTTCGTGCACAAATAAGGCTGTACTGCGTGTTTATTATCTGTCGCCCGACATGGAGCGAGGCAGGTGCGGAATCGCGAGCCAACCCATCAGCCAAGGGGGTGGCAGGAAGGGTGGCGGGGCGATAACCCAGCCAGCCAGCCCGAGCCCGAGCCCGCGTCTTTTATCGCTGCTGGAAAGTATGCGCGGCTTTGCATAAAATATCTCATGCCGGCATCACAAAGCTCTTTGAGGTCGTCGCAAGATAAACACGGCATATTGGCGCAGCCAGCTGAGAGAAGCAGGAACTGCAACGAATTTGGCCCACTTCGGTCGTGCATTTCAAAGACAAACTTCATAATAAATGTCAATTAACGATTGAAAAACAAAATATTAATAAGCAGAGGATAAAAGTATAGCTGGATAAAAAGAAATTTCTACTTATTATTTACCTTAATTTCAAGGCGAAATTTTGTTTACTTGAAAAATTTTTATGTGTGAACAATTGTTGAAGAAACTTATTTTTTGCAAAAAAAATTGCGATACAGAAACAATGAACAAAAGAAAAATGCAGAGTTGCGCAATTTAAATGAATAAATATCAATAATAATAAAAAGATAAACCAATTATTCACGAGTTTCGTTAGTCAAATTTTCATTTTCTTAATTATTGTAAAAGTAGCGCTTATTATTGGTAATCTATAGGAAACTGTACATGCAAATTCTGTGGAGAAGTTTTGGCCAGTATCAAATAAATTATTTTGTTGGGAAAACGCGGCAAAAAGTACAGTGAAGTGAATAATATAAAATTGCTGTTAATAAAAATTGAAGGAATTTGTTGTAATTACATTTGTGTATTTGCACGGCTGCACGCCTACGGCATTTATTCTGAAAAAAATAATTTTTACACTGAGAGCCATGACAATAATTAAAAAAAATAAAAGAAATAAGCCTCGCGTCCCAATGGAACTCCCTCCCTTCTGTGATACAATCGTGTGCGTCAAATAATTTCCCAAAATTGTGCAAAGAGCATGTTAAACAAATTTGATTTTTTCCCCGTAGTTTAGGCAGCAGTGCGGCGAGTAATCGGGTATTTATCGCCTCTTGGTAAATACGCGGTTATGAGTTTCAGTGAGTTGTTCACTAGCACTGTGTGCCTATTTTTCTCCCAACCATTTTTTTTCACAATTGATTGTACTGACTTGTTTGGAGAAAAATAAATTGAATTGAATTGAGAAATGGTATTAAATCAAGTTCAAATTTCGTAACTTTTCTATTCTTGTACATTAGTAAACGATGTGAATATCTGCAAAAACATTTTTCTTTCGCTTAATATATTTGTGAAGTTTCAAAAATACTTATTGTTTAAAACATATTAATAAATACATAATAATATTAATAAAATGTACTATTTTTCATTAGAATTTTAAATTGATTAATTTTATGTTTTAATTTTGTGTTATATTTATTTTATTTTTATATAAAATATTTTATAATTTTATTTTAAATATCGTTCCAAATCAAATACTTTATAATACAACTTTAATTCATATTTAAAGTATTGCAAGCTTTTTAAATAAATATATTCACGCAGTATCCAACAGTAAGATGTAAATTAATATTCATAATTCAATTAATATCTTTCAAAACGTGATGTGGTCTTTGTTCGCAATGATGTTAAGAATATTGATAATGGTCAAGATTTTATTCACTAGTATTGAACTAAAAAATTAATATTGGATTTGTTGTGTCAATTTTGTTTAAAGAGTAAAGTCCCAAGCTCAAAAACTCATCAAGGAAAAACCGACATTCTATTGAAAATTAATAAAAGCATCAACCTCTGTAAAAATAGTTCTTGCGTACAATTAAACGGAAACTTCAATTAATCGAATTGCAGCGACTGAACATCATTTTGATTAATTTATCAACAAAAGTTCTATTTTATTAGATTCGCAGAATTTCGCCTAATTATTTGTTGCTCGTACAGCTTAATTGGAACTAGAACTACGAGCGTATAATTATAAATCCACTTTGCTGCTCAGCAACGAGAGAGTTGTTGCAAAAGCCGTCGGCCAATTACAAAGTGGGTGCGTGTGTTGCGAGAGCAGCTCACTAGACCGCCTAATTATCCAGGCAAACAGAGCACCGACCAGAAAACTCTTTTCCACTGCCCACGGACCTCGTATTTCTCAACAAATTTATGCAGATCAGGTCAGGACGAGGTTGAGTTGCAGACAAACTCGACCTTGCTCTCCAATTTTCCACTGCTTGGCCATTGACTCTATGGTCTGCAGTGGGGGGAAGATTAATGAAGCCTTCAAATTTCGGAGATAAAACGTGGTCCAATTAATTTCTATCAAAACTTTGCTGGAGAAATAATGAGGCGATTTCCTGGTCGATCAAATAAATTCACATTCAATTTCAACTCAAGCACTTCACCAATCATTAAAGTACTGTTTTTTTTTTTTTAAGTGCTTGAAAGTTTTTTCCAGTCGATTGAAGCAGCTTGAGCACTTTTTTATTTTCAAATAAAATATAAAATATGTGCGGCGCCGAGTTTTTTTTTCCAACCGCAGGCAGCTCTGGCTCACATTTATTCTGCGAGCAACAAATGAAATTGCCATCTGCTCTTATCTCTCGGTCCACGCGAATAAATATGCTCTCGCAACATTTGTTTGCGCCCCGGTTCCGTTGCTTTTGTACTAAAATGCGAGTCACATAAGAGGCGTAAACTGCCAGATAAACTAACCCTTTTCGCTTCACATGCACTCGGAGCGCTTTTGATTAATTTGCCTTCCTTCCTCTTTAGCACGTCCACGTTGAGGCATCACAACTAGATCACCGAGATGTCTTTACAAATGTGAATAAATTTAAAGGGAATAATTGACGCCTCTAGTAATTTGACTATTATTTTGCTAGCATAAATTATTTAAAATAAAATAAGCACAAATTATTACAAATTTATGACAATAATCATTTATAAAGTAGGCAAAAATATGCATTTTTTTGTAAAAAAAAGTTCATATGCAGCTTACATTATTTACACTAATATTGATTTATTTGCTTTGAAAAGATTTTAAAAGCTAGACTACTTAAAAGTCTCTTAATTTTTATTTAATGAAATTGCAAGGCTGTATTATTTGTATACAGATATATTTTTTCAGTAAATTTATCATATTTAATTTAATTTCATCAATAAAATAATAAAAAAAAACACATTTCATTTTGAATTTGCAAGGGTCATCTAGAAAGAAAATCTAATAATATAAAATTGTTTACATAAATATGTAAAAATTTAATTTTTCAAGGAGGCGTTTGGATCGTGTAAAATGTGGAATTCGTTGCGTTGAATCTGATAATAAAACTGAATATAGCATTCCCTATTAAATGAAATAAATATTATCTGTATTTCACCCCTATTATTGAGGGAAACATCGGCATCTCTGCAAATTTAATTGGAATTTTGAGACATTTAAAAAATAACAGGAGAGTGTCTTTCATAAGTGCGAATCTAGAATCTTCCTTCAAAAGCCATCAAGTTCTTGCTAATCGTTTTGAGCCAATTAGTTAATTAGGAAGCGATTTTATGCTTGCTTGAACAAATCAAAACAACCTTGTTCGAAAAGTCGATTTCTGCGAAGGAACGCGTCTGAATGCAAAAACAGCGCCATCACTAATTGATGTTTCGGGACGCATGAAAAGGGCAAAGTTGGACAAAGGGAAGCTTAAAATCCATTCGATTTGAACTAATTAACAGAGAGTTCGTTAATGATCGCTGAGAGTGAAAGGGCGAAACATGCATGCATCATCAAATCGGAGGAAATTTTGTTTTTCCATCGCAGACACGCCCAAGTAATTTTAGTTTGGAGCGCCTCGGGCGCAACTAATCCGCCTCTTGCTTTTCACCCTCCAATTTAGCAGCTCCATTTTAATGGCTGATGGAATTCATTTGGAAAACTCATTCCCGCTCGCTGGCACTCGCAAGGGTCAAAAGGCAATAAACGAGACCCACGGCCGAATTGCTCGAGGTGCGAAGGTTTCGTTCCTTCCTTGGCAGCGCAAAAACTATAACTTTTAATGATGATATCGCGCCTGCCCGTGATTATTCTAATGCGACTAGTTTTCAAGTGCCCTCTCGTCCCACACACGCGCCTCTCATTAAAATTTCAGCCCCGTTGTTTAATCAAGGCGAAATTGGCTGCTTTAGCAGAGCAATCTGGCACGAGAAGCGTCGAATAAATTTCCCACGTTGTTCTTCATTATACATTTTGTTTGCGCTCTCTCTCGATATGCGCAGGCAGATTTTATATAAAATGTACTCTGGCCGGGGCAATTATTCAGAGAGAAAAGGGAAAAAACTCCACAGTCGGGAAAGAGAACTTTTCCATTAGTTGTTTTTTTTTGTTCTCTGCGGATTCAATATTGTCCTTTTTCGCAAGAGTTGTGTAATCAAATAAAAAACACGAAATGGGTGGACTGCTTGTTCTGGTTAGCAAATTGAATTAAAAGTACTGACTGAGAGGCTAACTTAGGTGAATGCTTTTCCCATAAAAGGGAACGTTTTTTTGTTAGGTTTTTACCATTTTGAAACTTTTAAACACACTTTTCAGAAATCAAAAGTTCCATTATTATGATGCATACCGCTCATAAAATAAAAATACAGAAAAAAAATATTAAAAAACATCATTTGTACAAAAAATCTTAAGTTTATTTAAGTCTCAATGATATAAATGTGATGAATTCAGAGGACGCGGGGCTTTTAGCACAAGGTTTAAAATTTTTTTATACATTCATTATCTTAATAATTAAGGACTTCTTATTGACGTAGTCAAATCAAGTCTTTACAACAAAACCAGCCATTTGTGGTAATTATTGGAAATTTAATAAAACATTGTTTTGAAGACTTGATTTGACTATGTCAATAAGGAGTCCTTAAGGCTATTGGAGGATTTTTGTGGTTCCACAGAGATTTGGAAATTTGAATTTAAATAATATCATATCAATGTGACCAATCATTGAATCAATGCAAAAATTTTTCTCTTTTAATTTGTTGATTTTGATTGAAATTGAAATATCTCGTTTTCAAACAGAATATCTATTTTAATATTCAATTTTCTTTGACAGTCAAATATATAGTTTGTTTTCGGTGATCTGTCCTTTTTATATTTTCTACAATGAATAATATTTCATAAACATATTCAATGCCCAGCATCATGACCTATTTAATGTAAATTAGAGTAGAAAAACTGCTTAAACCGAGGGATTAATTTATTTAAAAATTTTTGTTAAAAATTGTTTAAAATAATGTATAAAATAGCATTGATTTTAATATAATTTTAAATAAAATTAAAAAAATCTTAATGTACAAAAAAAAATAAAAAAGTTAATGTGTAAGAACTATTAAAAAATACTTTATTTTGTTTAATTTATTGTTAAAGTACTATTTTTTTTTTAAATTTTTATTTTATGTTTGCTAGTTTTTGGCCCGTACCCTTTTATGGCGGTGGTGAAGGCACCAACCAATTTTCAGGTTTATCGAACTTACAATCATATGATATTCTTATTCGAACTTTTCTTCAAGGATAAGATTCAAAGAAATGTTGCAAATTCATAAAATTGAATTATCTGCATTTATATAGATGCGAATTGCGCTCATTTATCATAAAAATTGTATGGCTAAATCATATTCGTTAAAAAAAGTAGTGAAAATCATAAAAGGAAATAGAATTACTGCTGTTTGCTTCACGGGAAGCCTAATTAAGCCACTTTTTGATTTGCACCGGGTGCTGAATTTGACACTTTTTCTCCCCTCGGCGTTGCGTTCGGCCGAGGGTGAAAAAAGGGCCACTCGAAAGAAGCGCGACCGCACACAGCACACCTACCTCTTCGTCCTGCTGGTTGTAGGAAGTGGAGCGGGCGGGCTGCTTGAAGTCGTCGCACTCATAACACGGGGCTGCTCCACCTTGGGCCGCGGCCAGGTGATAAAAAAGGAACAGCAACACCGCCACTACTTCCATCCCGGAGGCGCGGAACATGGCCCTGCAATAATAAAATGAGGACGCCCTCGTGAAAATTCATTTTATTGCCAGCGAACGCTACTAATGCGCTCTTTTATTCGACCGGCCCCGAATAAGGGAACCAGTCATGAGTGTGAACGCCCGATAAATTGCACTCGCGAAACGACTCAAACGACTCACCACCTGCACAGGGGACCAAATCCCCAATGCATCTGACATCCTCGATATGCACAATATACGGACACTGATATCGATTTTTATTTAAATCATATAAAAATCAAATTTTATTGGCTGTGCAAAAATATCCTTTTATTATTTTCTTATGCTATTTTAGAATATTTTCTGGAACAAATATTGTTTATAGTAGAATATTTATTGATTTATTTTCTACCGAAATAATCCATTTTGTGTTAATTTTAATTACGTATAGCATAAATTCTTCAAACTGAAAACAAAATGCAGTTTTTAACATTTATTATCTCAGAAATAATGGAAATGAATAATAATGATATATTTTCACATGCTAATTTGGTACCAGCAAATCCTTTGAGGTTATATTTTGTGTTACACATTCATACGGAGATTACCGATTTGAAAACTAATTATATAGTTTATTGAAAATACCTCATCAGAGTACAATTCTTCAATATTTAAATTAATACAAGCAAAACTAATTAAATTAGTTTTAACGAAAAAATTTAAATTACGGAAAATTGTAAGATTTTTTATAATTATTGTGAATTCATAAATTTCATAACGAAAAATTGTTGAATTTCTCTTCAACTCCCATTACATTACATTGAGAGAAATTCGCAAGCCTCATCTGGTCTGGACTTACTAAATGAAATGGAATTTGAATTCAGGGCTATGATAGCTTTTTGGATTAGTCTTTTTATGTTTCTGTAGATTTATTTTTACAAAAAAATGTACATAAAAAAGTTATATAGTTATTTAGACATGGTACAAAATAAATATCATTTAATAAACATTAAGTTTTTTTATACTTTTTTTGTTAAAAAATTATTTTCTTAATAATATTTTAATATTATTTATTTTATCATTTTAAATTTTTAAAACAAAAAAAGATTTTATTATAAAATGCACAAATATCGCAGAAAAATATAATAAATTTGATTGAGAAATTATTATAGAGTATTAAAAGCAGCTGAAACAACGCAAAATACAGTACCTATGGGATGACCCATATGACATATGGCTGCTCTGGATCGACCGGATCAACGTCGTTGATTGCTTGATATTTGATATAAAAGATTTAAAGCCGATAATAATTAACCAATTGAAAGATATTAAAACGGACCTGAATGTTTTTAATCTTCCATGTTTGGATGAAAACACCATGGAAGGAATTCACAGTGAAACTTAAACAAATGCTACATGCACACAACTTTTTTAAAACATCCACTAATTGTCAATTCCTTCTCTTTTCTTGTATCATAAGTGATATAATTACATACATATAATGTATCCGTCGTAATCAACTTATTTAAAACCGGGTCAAATGAATGTGCAGTTTTGACAGGTGAAATTTCTCGCGGTTACTTTATAGTTTTTGTCCCTTTGCATTGAGCAACGGGAATTTTTTTCTCTGTATTCTAATTTTGAACCTGACATGTTTTTGTCTAACAGAATAACTATAAAATTGAATTTTGAAATTTGAGTTTTTCCTCGGCGGCGTTTTATTGTTGTTGAGTATTCTATTATTTCAGAAAAACAATATCCTGCTGCACACCTATGAGCCATGAAATTGAAATTTAAGTCACCAGCCACCATTAATGAACTGAACCCTCGATTGTATAAAATTCTACTAAAAATTGGAATTAAATATTAACATTACTTTTGCACACCATTGGCGTTTATTCATATAGATCAATTGAATTTTGTACATTTGGAAATTAAAACACAAAGAAACCGCATAAAAAAGGACCATTTTCAGTAACAAAAACTAATGCCAATTTAAATTTTCAGGCCTGATCGAGGCTCTCTTGATTTAGCTTTATGCGCAGCGTCAACGGCCGAACGTAAATCGTGCATGCGATCGTAATTGGACGGCCACGGTGCATTTATGGACGCGACGAGCCGAGAGCAAGAGACAAGGATCGAAAAGTGGCCGGGAAACGAGGCTGCGGTGGCGCGAGATTTGATGATATTGTCGGCGCGGGCGACGCACACGCGACAATTTATAGATCGAATACACGGCGCGGCGACCGCGAGAGCAAACCACGCGAGGCCCGTTTGCCGTTTCCATTACGCCAAATTAAACGGGCAAATATTTAGAGTGGCCGCGCAGAGCTGAAAAGTCTCGTCACTTCATTTACTCGGTCTCTTTGTACGCGCGTAAATGAGTTACTTTGCCACTCATTAACACACTCTGATGCCAACTCGCGTTAACTCGCCAGGTTGTAATTTTGTCCCTATTTATCTGAATGTTCCCTCTGGGCTCGTGGATTTTAGTCACTTGGCATCAAATGAGTTCATTTCCTTCACAAATAAAGTGAGATTCTATGAAAATTGAGTGATTAAAAGAAGTAAAAAAAAAAAATAAAAAAAAATATTTGTTTGAAGAAGTTGACACTCATGGAAATGAAGAGATCGGGCTTTTCCTCGTTGCAAAAATTGTTTTGTTTTTGAATAAAAACAATTTTTTGCAACAAGGAAAAGCCCGATCTCTTCATTTCCAAAAAAATTATTTCTTCCATTTTCATCAAACTAATAGAAATAAAATTCAATGACTTTTTGTCAATTTTTTTTTTTAATATTGCCATGGAAAGCAATCAAAAATATTTGTGGGGCTAAATTTAAACTTTGAATTGCCCTTTAAAAACGAAAATAATTAAAAAATATTTTGTGCATGCATTGAATAAATCAAGAGAAAGAAGAAGAAAAAAATAATTTTGTTTTGTGACTTGAATAAAATTACGAATGACGAATGACTTCCCCAAAACACAACTAGTAAAGTAAAAGAATTGTTTCCAAGCAATAAAAATTTGTCTATAAAGATTTAACAGTGAATAATAAAAATAAGTTTGCACTGATATTAAACAATAGAGTCTCAAGAATTCTTTTCACAATAAAAAACGGTTAAATCCTATTTCAGCTCATTTAATGTGAAAATTTCCAATTGAAAAAATTACCATTTAGCGACCAATTTATTTTCCGCACTGAAATTTATAAAAATTTTGTACCAAAAACAAGAGATTATAATGCACGGGCCAAATTTTGTTTGTTCTCTCCGTCTCTCTCCCTCCCTCTCTCGTTGGTTAATGTGGGCTTTAGTGCGAGACAGCCTGGCAGTTTAATGCTGCACAGAATTCCTTTGCGCACTGTTAAGACGTAGCGCAGAGATCATTTCGTTGATAATAATGGAGAGGAGGAGACGCTCTCTGTATATAATGTACACAACAATTGAGCCTTGAAATTGAATTTATGCTTGTGATATATTATACAGTTGCGCCAAAACATCCGAATGCAAATTAGCTCCATGTCAAAACTTTGCAGTGATAGTCTGATTTCCGCTTTGATTATTGATGATGATGAAAGTTCAGTAGTGTTTCAAGCTAAAAATTATATCATAAATTTTTGGACTAATCTTAGGAAAATTTCAAAACAATATTGTGATCTAATTAAAATTAAAAATCATTTTTGTGTTATCAAAAAATCCCGAATCTAATGTTATTAAACAAATACTTATTATTTGCAGACTAAAAATGAATAAGAAATGCAAAATTATGTCCCCAAGAAGTTTGAAATTTGTTTTATGAATGTTAAATTATTTATGTTTTGCAATGTGTATCAATCATTATTTCTAACGTATTTCCAGCATTGTACATAAATTATCGAATCCACATTTTTTTTAATGAGTTCGTACTTTTTTGATTTGATGCGCGATTCTGATTTTTTTTACAGTTTACTTTCTTGTGGTGAAATGTATCGATTAATAAATAGAAAATTTAGTAAATATAAATAATTAAGTAACAATGAACACAAATTTTATTAATAAACAAATAAATTAATTCTCCCCTTAAAATTGGTGGACAGTAATTGTCTCTCCATAAATTTACGAGCAAAAAAGCATTGAATTGAAAATAATTAATGCATAAAAGTGCGCTAACTTCACCCAAAGGGTATTTACCGGTGTAGAAATTCATTGCAAACACGATAAAAACCTACTTAGGGAATATGCCATGCATAAATTTTCAATGAGCGTTTCTCATTCGAGGCACAAATTAATTGTTAGGGTACTTGACCCATCTGCACGCATATCCATCCATGCGTTTTGCAGTGAAACAACGCTCATTGGAAATTTTGCATGCTCTTATTCCTGCACTCTTTTTTTCCCTCTAGCTTGAATTTTCTGCACCAGTGTAATAATTCTAAGGATATAAGTTTTGCAAATCTTTCTTGCGTGAATAATTTAATTATAGAGGTTGTGTTGTACTTTTAAGCTTAGTGACCTGATTAAATTAGCTGATATCAAATTAGCCACATTTTATTAAAAACAAAAATAAAAAATTGTTATTTTTAATATTCTGTAATTATGTAGCAAACGAATGGGTTAAAAGGGGTGGAATTTCTTATTAAATGAAAATCCTTTAATTAAAACGACTAAAAATAAATCATCATTTTTTTTTCGTTAAGAGCATATAAATTACAATGATTGTGCATTTTTCCCTCTTACTTAACAATTTAACTTTTTATTTTTTACTGTTTGAATAAAATTAACTTATTATAGCATAATTTTGATCAAAAATATTGCCAATAGAGTTACTCCTCTCGTTGAAATGACGAACAAAGTGAAATATTCTCATTTCTACTGTCAATAAATATTGTTTCAAAAATTGAAATCCTTGGTTTTCTTCGACTTATAAATTTTGCCTATTATTTCACAAAATTTGCTCTTATATTTATTGGGCATGCGCCGGAAATTTCTGTGCAAACGGAAGTGAAATTTGCAAGCTACTCTCGAGGCGCATCATCCCTTTCGAATTTATGCGGCTCTTTATT